GAAATGATAGAAGCATTGCAAACATTTAGATGAATCAATTTGAAGTAAAGAGTCTACAAAAATTGCAGGTGACACCCCTTCAAATTAAATTAGAGGGCTACTCAGATTCCCTAACTTTGTATTTCTTTTTTCTATTTTTCAGGGATTTGGCCTACACATATAAGAAGTAATCACACAACACAAATAATAGTAGCATTACAAACATATGGAATCAACAAGCATAAGCAACATATATCATGAATAAAGATATAAAAGATTGTATTTTTTTCTAGAGAGTAGTGTAGTGCATGTAAACCGAATGATACTTTTGTTATGTAAAAATACATGTAAAAAAGTTGTTTAAGTATTATAAAATACTTTCTATTCCATAACATGTAAAACACATGATGCAAGTATATAAGTTTTGAAAATGTAATACCCTTAGGACAGAAAAAAAAAATACATCACATCAGTTTATAAAGTAATCATAAGAATGCAACCATCTCCTTAATACTCCAAAAATCTCTCTCTATATATATTTAAGAAAGAAAAGAAATAAGTTTCTAAACCTGAAATGAAATTGTTACCTTAATTGTCTTTTAAAATAAGCATGTCGCTTTCCTTCTGCTTAGACAGTTGGGCATCATCCTCATAGTATATTTCTGCTTAGATAGTTGGGCATCATCCTCATAGTATATGTTTCAGTGTGTATTCCTATGTCTATCCAAATATCTTAATTTCAAAACAAATAAAAATAACAGTTTTAATATCACAGTTTAATATATAGTATCAGTTAAATCCATCTGAATTTCAAAACAAATAAAAAAAACAGTTTTAATATCACAGTTTAATATATAGTATTTAATATCACAGTTTAATATATAGTATAATATATAGTATTTAATATCACAGTTTAATATATAGTATCAGTTAAATCTATAGGCCAATAAAATATAAGCAAGTGCTAATTGGTAGTTTCTATTTTTCTATAGAATAGTGTAGGCCATGTGATAAAAAAAAAAAAAAAAAGTTCATATTCTATAGAATAGTGTAGGGGATGAATTTTATTGTCTAATAATAATTGTGTGAATTGCAATGAAGTTTAAAATGTAAATGTATTCCTCTTAGCAATGGTAGATTGGACACAGTATCAGTTGTAATACAAGTAATACAAAACTCTTGAATTATAATGTATTCAAAAATCATTTGTAATGTCACACACTGAAATTAAATACATAGCTTTAAGGATAGGTAGATTTGAGATGAAAAACAAATCTTCAAGCACCTATTATTTGCTGCAAAATAAAAAATAATTTAGTTATAAGTAATATTATAAGTTTCTCAAGCTTAATCCAAAGAAGGGTAATACTTACAAAGGAATTTCATATTAAGCTTGAGTATAAATATCCAAGTTGTCTTGCAAAAATAAATTACAGTAAGTTAAACACCGGCTCAAAGAGGTTATCTATGCTAAACTTAATTTCAAGTAATTAAAATTCAATTTAAGTAACCAATTTACACTAACAGAGCTTAACTACCAGTGTTGATCATGTAATAACAAACAGGATGGTTAGCAAATGAGGTGTAGTAGTGGTTTAGGGTATACCAAAATTTAGTCTACCAAAATATTTGAGGACATATTAACCACAAAAAGGTATATCAGAATTTGTTCTAGGTGTAACCTATTTTATGATTAGGTTCAAAGAACGCAAGTAAACCTTTCAACTTCTCGAGGTAATTGGAAACATGAATAATTAAGTGCATCAGATGTGTTCTACAAGACAAGCCAAAGGAATTTCTCAATAAATAGCACAACCTTAACAACAGGATTGAATTTACACCTATTTTTCTGAAGACAAAGAAGTCTTTCTATCAAAACCACAGAAGGGCAAGCATTTGGGTTACAGACAGTGAGGAAGATTACATCTTCATGCACCATTGGAGCAAAGAGGAAGCATTATCATCAAAACAAAGGTATTTCTCATGTCAAAATGCTTAAATACATTGATTACATAGAAAGTTTAGGGTTAGAAACAACTTATCTTGGGCCAAAATTTAGTCTGGACTATGCCAAAATTGAGTTTATTCGGAACAGTGGCCTCCAGATTTCTTAGACTGCAATAACAACAACAAAAATGATATCAACACTAACCCTAAACCCTGCGATTTGTAATTAAATACAAAAATAATAGGAGACATGGATACAAATCTGTATAAAACAATAATAAAATAAGTAGTTTGAATACTTAGCTCAAAATTTGGGGGGAAAAGTGAACTGATTTGAGATCAAATCTACGATTCCACCTTCTACCATGCTTATCGCCAACCGCTGGTAGATCTCAGTCAAGAATCGGACCTCGGCGATTTGATCTCACTGTAACCCTACACTAAGATTGAAGTTGGAATCGTACAGTATTGCATGTCGAAATTTTGTGATCAAAACTTCATCATCTTCATCGTGAAGGTGTTTCTAGGTGTGTTCAAAACTCCCATAAAAAGATGAAAGAAAGAACCATAGAAAGCCTTTTTTCGAAATGAAAGAACCAAAAAAATGGGCTGTAAGAGGTATAAATTACACTCAGATTCCCAGATGGCCTCTCGGATTTCTAAGCTTTCTATATAAAAGATCTAGGCTCTCTTCACAGTGCAGAGGTGTAGGTAGAGCGAGTGATAGAGCATAGATGGAGATGTAGAAGAATAACTGGTGGATTCGCTAGAATCCACTGGTGGAAGCTGCTGGAAACCGAGAGCAATAGAGACAGAGGTAGAGGACAACGAAGTCAACAACGTTGATTAGGCAACCATAGTAATAGAAATCCGATTATTAGGGTTATTATCATTATTATTCATATTATTTACTACTATTATTATTATTAGAGATTAGAGATTATTAATTCCTATTTATGGATAATAGTTTTAATTTATAATATTTAGGATATAATATATTTTTACTACTTACGAACATTAGTATTGAATATGAGTTTGTTATTTTATTGTATTTTGTCAAATTTTTATAAACGAATATCTATTTTATATGCTCATTGTTTTAATTGTTTAAATTATCTAAGTTGATATGAATGTGATATTATATCAATTTAATTACACATCATATCACGCAAGTATAAGAAAATCTAATCACAAGGTATTATTGGCAGATCAAATATTTTTCAAATAACAAATTATACGATTGGTAAGTTCTTATTGCTAATAACATATATAGAAAGTTATAATCTCAATTAATTTTATAGCAAATCGAGTTCTAATTTTTTGCCACCAAATTTGCAATATATTTTGTTACGCAATATAGATCACTCATTGGGTTTATGTAATGGTACGAGATTAGTCATTACAAGATTGTCCGAGCATGTTATTGAGGCTAAAATAATGACGGGTGACAATGTCGGGAGTTCAGTGTTGATACCAAGAATGTCATGACTCCATCGGATACAAAATTGCCTTTCAAATTTCAAAGGAGACAATTCCCATTAATATTGTCATATGCAATAACAATAAATAAAAGTCAAGGTCAGACACTATCTCATATTGGGTTGCTCTTGAAGAAATCAGTGCTTGTACATGACCAATTGTATGTTGTTGCATCTAGAGTTAACAATCTTAAAGGTCTAAAGATTATAATTTGTAATGAGCTTAACAAGAGTTGTACTTCAACAACTAATGTTGTGTACCATGAAGTTTTCAATAATTTGTAAATAAAATACCAATTTACAATTTAGTCATTTCTTTATGTGTAAATTGCAATATACTTGAATAGTGTTTAACATGTAATATGTGTATTTTATTACATAACATATTGCACAATTATTTACTTTAGTACAATAACAACATATAAAATTAATATATAATTTATTGACCGTGTATCGCACGGGTACCTTTGCAGTTCAAAAACCCAGATCTGTACTCAGATTCGACATGCATGGGTTCATTCTTGCCTATAAGAAATACAGGACATATAATATAGAAATGAATTTCAACAAACTTTAGGATTTCGTAGAAATGGAGTTGAAAGATGAATCCCATAATCGAAACTATTTTGAAACACCTTGAATCGCCCAGAAATTTCTCCTTAAACCTATATGAACAACGATCGGTGTTCAAAATTGAAGAAATGGAATAACAATTTCTTGCGAGACAGAGCTTCGAATAGCACTTCTCCAACCCATAAATGTGTTTGAGAAGTCAACTTGCTTGCAAGTAAAAATGCAGAAGAATGAGAGCAGAGGTGGCGTGGTTTCTAGAATCGCAGTCCAACTCCTTCTAACCACAATATATGTATGTATTATATGTAATATATAATATATAATATTATACTCCGTATATTTTATGTATATATATAGTTACCCAACTTCGAAATATGGTAAAAAAAAAAAAATTATATATATAGTTAAATTATATGTATACATAGTATTTATTTACATAAGGATCATCGAATGTAGTTCCAAATAATAAATTAATAAATTATATAATAAACATTCAATTGTTTAATTATGTACTTAAAATCCTTATAACATTATATTTTATAAGTTATATTGTATACAAAATTAAGTTCGTTCTAATATTTATTGAAATCATGTAATTAGATACATTACTAATGTTGTATATCATGATGTTTTCAATAATTTGTAATTTTGATAAGTTTTCTTTTTTTAATACCATAACATTAATTGCAACTATTTGTAATATACCATTTATATATTATTTTTGTTGAATTCCCACACATATTTCATTTATATGTTATAAATTATAATCGCATTATTTCACACAATTTATAATATAACAACCACACAATTAATACTTTTTAATTTACATACCGTGCAGCGCACGGGGCAAATACTAGTATAGAACTATAGAAGGATAGGATGTTTTCAAAAAAAAAAAAAAGGATAGGATAGTAGGATTTTCAAAAATGAATAAATGTCATTAACCCTTGAAAAAGAAAAGAGAAAAGACAGTATATTTAACCTTCTGAAACTGGACACTTCCAGAAACCGTTGGAACGAGAAGCAGACGCGGCAGCAAAAGAGAGAGAGAGAGAGAGAGGGAGTGGGAAGTGTAGTGTGTGTTCGGAGCGATGGCGGAAGAGAAGAAGAGAACGATAAAGCTGTTCTGCCCATCACTGTCGAAGCTAGTGCCGCTGGTGGCTTGGGAAGACCAGAGACTCGACCTGGGGTCCATAGCTCGGACCTTCGGAATAGAGCCGGCGACGTTGAAGCTAAACGGCCACTTCATAAGCAGAGGAATCGATCTTATATCTTCCTCTGTAACCTGGAAGTCTCTTCTCTCATTTTTCTCAGCTCGCGGCTTCTCCACCGGCGCCTCCGACTCCGACGCCCTCATTGTCGACGGCAAGCTCTCTAAGCTCCGCTCCAAAAGTAATACATCCTTGATCCTTCCTTCACTACTTTCCTTTTCCTTTCCTAGGTCAATTGCGTAACTGAATATCCGATTAATCATAAGCTGAATTTACCTTCAACCGCTTAAAATCATGAAAAGTTCATGAATAAAATCGGATGATAAAACACAAAAAGAATTGAATCAATCTATTAAACTAGTTTAACACTTTAACTAAATCTCACTGTAAACTGTTTATTTCTAAACTTTCTCAACAACGGGAGGAGCTTGTAGTCCGGTTGATAATGAAATTCAAAGTCTTAAGGGCTTCAGTGACAATAAAATCGCACATCCAGAAAGTACCAAAAGGATTAAGGATGGCACACCAGGTAATTTTCAATCTAGGTTCTTTTCAATGGAACATGTGTGTGTATATAATAAATGTGTAGTCCAACTATATAGACTTTATAGTTGAAACGGAACAACCGTTTAGTTGAGACAAATACAATGTGGGTGTTTGGTAAATAGATGTTAGCTGATTGAGTTAGTGAGTTTGACTAGTTGATAGCATTGGCTGATTGTAGAAAAGTGTTTGGTAAATTAGCTTATAGTTGATTACATGCAAAATAACTTTCTCAAAAAGCTAATCGAAAAAAACAGTTTTTTGAATTTTAGCATTTTGGAGCAATAAGCTGTTACAAAAAGCTAATTAATTAAACACTCATATTGATTGTTTAACCTAGTCAAATAACTAATAGTGGTCAAATAAGTCAAAATTGACTGATAAGCTAACTATGTTACCAAACATAACCAATATATTCTATAGTTTGTTATCATGTGGAGAGCATTGTTATCGTGTGGAGAGCATTGAACTGTATGGTGACATTGAGAGACTAGTGGTTAATATCTCGACCTAAGGTTGATGGATAAAAACAAATGAAAAGTTTAGATGGAAGAAAACTATACAATTTATTTTTGCAGTGTTTGTTCTGTGATTGCCATCCTCTAGGTCTCAGAATTGGCTCTAACATTAAGTGATGTATTCCGTCTCTATCAAAAGTTTGAGCTGATATTGAGACTACACATTTATATTATAGTCTCTACCGAAAGTTTAAGATGATACTGAGACTACACGTTTATATTATATGCTCATCACTCGGGATAAAAATGTGTCATGCTTTCCATCTAATAGTGCTTTTCTTATCCAGGAACATTTGGTTGTATAAATCAGATTTCTCCTTTGAATGGCTTATGTTTGAAACGGAAGTTCGGTTTGGAAGGAAGCAGTCCTGTAAAGAAAACAAGAATGAATGAATCCAATTTAGGTTAGCGTCCAATCTTCTCTTCCGCCTTTCTTATCTCAGTTCTTGAATCTGAACTGCAAGTTTCCTGTTCTCTATGCTTGATCATCTTATTAAAATCCTATGGTGCATTCTCAGATCTCACGCAGAGAGATCGTGTTTTCACCACTACACGAGACACACAACTTCCATGTAGCTTCACGAGCAATGAGGCGAAACGGATGAGAGAAGAAGAAATGGTTGTTGCATCCCCTTTGAAGAGATTAAGAAACTGAGGATCTCAAGAATGCATTAGTACACAGCCATTGAACATCTTCCACCCTCCAACTGTGATTTGTAAATTAGTTTATATTGTTAGAAACTATTGTATAGTACAACTCTTATAGCATAATGTATAAAAAAAAATGTAATGAAAAAACGAATATAAATGAAAGGTATGACCTTCATTCACACTTATTAATTTTTAGATATTCTGAATTCTATAAATATGCTCTCAGGTTCATGAGGAGATAAATTGATCAATTTAACTTTGAGATTTAATACCAAGAAAGAAGAAGCTAGAGCCAATTGACTTAGTTGGACTATAAAGTATAAACTCTATTGTTTTTCTTTTTTGTTGGATTGGGCCAATTGAATGAAGGATCCAACAAAACCACAAAACATGCTTTTTTCACACTGTAATAACAAGAAGAAGCTCCACGACCATTTCTAAGGCTTCAATGCATTTACAGAAATGTCCACTCAGAGAACTCAAATCTCTCTTATTGACATGTAAAGATAGAATATCCATTTCCAAAATCCATACACTTCTGATATCATCTGGGCTTTCAACCCATGGAATTCTAAATTCTCAACTAATTGCATCCTATGCAAAAGTTGGTGACATTGAGTTCGCTCGGAAAGTGTTCGATGAATTGCCCAAGAGAGGCATTGATGTTTGGAATGCGATGATCATTGCCTATTCAAGGAAGGGGCACCCTTCTGAGGCTATAAATCTGTATAAAGAAATGATCTTTGCTGGTGTAAAACCAGATAGCTCAACTTTCACAGCAGCACTCAAGGCCTGTATGATACTGTCAGACTTGGAATTGGGTGAACAAATCTTGCAGAAGGCCCGTGAGTGTGGATACGAGAACGATGTGTTTGTTGGGTCCTCAAGTTTGAATTTTTACTCAAAATGTGGGAAGATAGACAGCGCGATGAGTGTCTTTGAGAAAATGGAGCGGAAGGATGTTGTTTGCTGGACTACCATGATCACAGGCTTTGCACAGAGTGGTAAAGTGAGAGAGGCAGTGGGGATGTATCAGAGGATGCAGAAAGATGGTTTGGAAGGCGACGAGGTTGTGATGTTGGGCTTGATTCACGCCAGTGCTAATATTGGCGATATAAAGTTGGGTTGTTCAATTCATGGTTATATGATCCGAAAACATCTTCCCATGAATGTACTTGTGCAGACTAGCCTAGTCGATATGTATGCCAAGAACGGAGCGCTAGAGCTGGCTTCCCGAGTGTTTAGGAGACTGCATTGCAGGAACTCTGTTTCGTGGAGTGCTTTGATCTCCGGGTATGCTCAAAATGGACTAGCCGAGGATGCACTCGAGCTGTTAGTGGAGATGCAAAATGCGGGATTTGCACCCGACATGGCTTCACTAGTTAGCGCGCTTCTAGCGTGCTCTCACGTTGGGTTTTCGAAATTGGGTAAATCAGTTCACAGTTACGTTCTAAGAAGGTCTGAGATGAATCGGGTTTTGGGCACTGCATTGATCGACATGTATGCAAAATGTGGACTTATTGCTTGTGCACGAACTGTTTACGATCACTTGATTCTCAAAGACTTGATATGCTGGAATGCAATTATAGCAAGCTATGGGATTCATGGGCTTGGAGGAGAGGCTCTATCCCTTTTCTGTCAGATGAAGGACACAATGGAGCCCGACCATGCGACTTTTGCTGCTCTCTTTTCTGCTTTGAGCCATTCAGGCTTAGTGGACGAAGGGAAGTATTGGTTTGATATCATGATCAATCGATACAAGATTCAACCTACCGAGAAACATTATGCTTGTCTGGTTGATTTGTTGGCTCGTGCTGGACAGGTCGAGGAAGCCAAAAAACTGATCAGTTCTATGCAAAACGAACCCGGGATTGCTGTCTGGGTTGCCCTACTGTCGGGCTGCCACAACCACAAAAAAATTCTGATCGGGGAGCTGGCAGCGAGGAAAGTACTCGAGCTAAAACCAGACAGTCTCGGGGTTTATGTTCTAGTCTCCAACTTCTTCGCTGCAGCGAAGAAGTGGGAAGAAGTAGCCACGGTGAGAAAGTGTATGAGAGGGACCGGGATGAAGAAAGTCCCCGGTTACAGTCTCGTGGAAGTAAATGGCAGGCTCCACGCGTTTCTCATGGAAGACAAGAGCCACCCTCAGCACGATCAGATAGCCGGGATGTTACAGAAGCTGGAGCGGGAGATGGCAGCCGTGGGGTATTGTCCAAAGACGGAATCTGTGTTGCACAATGTCGAGGAGGATGTGAAAGTGGCAATGCTGTGCAGTCACAGCGAGAGACTTGCCATCGCCTATGCGCTCTTGAACACAGCCCCGGGAGCCCGATTAATGGTCACGAAGAACCTCAGGGTCTGTGGGGACTGCCATGAAGCAACCAAGTTTATCTCCATCATTGTGAGAAGAGAGATCATTGTGAGAGATGTGAAGAGGTTTCATCACTTCAAAGATGGTGTGTGCTCTTGTGGTGACTACTGGTGAAGTGGTAAATATGTTGCTTACAAATAGTTTTAAAATTTTATTAAAAGTTGCCTTCAATATTAGAAAAGGAGGATTGGGCAAACACCTTCTGCGGGCTCAGATGGCACCTTTGTGAGGGAAGGTTACAGGATCGAACCCTGGTGGTGGGGTATTAACTCTTTGGGATGCAGTAATTAGATAGAGTAAAGAACAGATACTACCTTGTAATAGAGTCAATAGTATGTTTTTTTTTTTTTTTTTAAAGATGATTGGGGCTAAAGTTTTAGGCCTTTTAATGTTGCTATAGTTGGCTTTGTAATTGTGACTGAAAGTGATTCAGGATCGATTGTTAAGTGGTTGAAGATTAAGAGGTTCTCACGATTTATGTTTAATATGATTGAATCATGCAATCCAGAGATGGGACATAAGTGGAAAACTCAAGTGATTTACATCTATAGAGAATTAGAGCAACACCACGTTTCAAGTTTAACACCCTGTGAGATGTTTAGTGGTCTTCTTAGTTTGAGTCGGCCAAGTGGCCAACTATGGGCCATTTATTGGCTATAGGTGGCTTGGGACAGAGGATTCCATGTGGTTGTGACTAAAAGTGATTCAGGAACAATTGTTAAGTGGTTGAAGATCAAGAGGTTCTCACGGTTTAATGTTTAATATGATTGAAGCATGCAACCGAGAGATGGGACATAAGTCGAAAACTCAAGTGATTTACATCTATAGAGGATTAGAACAACGCCATAATATTTCAAGATCAACTCTCTGTATGAGCTGTTTATTGGTCTTCTCAATTTGAGTCGGCCAATTATATATGGACAACCTAGGTTGGTTTACTTCCTTAATCTTTATAGTCTTTTACCGGCTAAGGTCACAAAGCAAGCTTTACTCAAAATGCACACTATAGCCACGGTGAATTTTTCTATAAATCAAAGAACAAAGCCACAAATTTTTTGGTGAGCTTCTCCATCCGACATGATCAAGGTGTATGATGCTCCTCCCACTCCTCTTTAAGACTTTGAGATTATCCTTTATGACAAAGTACTCCATAATACGGTACAAAGATCTTATAGACATTTTCATTATTGGATTGACTTTGCTTAAATAATTTTTTTTAAATAAAAAATATATATGGTTGCAATCATTTTAAATAATTTAATATCTAATAAATAAATGGATCATTATATTGGTGCTTGATCCAGCAAAGTCAGAGAGCTCTATAAACTATGAACCATGTTCTTACAACGTTTTAAATTTATTCTCATCCTATGCTACAAAGCCCGCACATGGTTTGAAAATTACATTTTTCTTTCCTAATTTATTTGTTAAATGTACATTAATTATATCATCAGAGTTCATCTAACATTACTTATGTGTAATAAACTAATAATTTATAAATTATACAAAAAAAATAAAATAGTCGAGTCATATTTTATTCACTCAATCACTCATTTTGAGAATTACATTTTATTTATTAATTATTATTGTTATTATTATTGTTATTATTATTATTATTATTATTATTATTATTTTATGGGGTGGGGCTGAGGTCAACTACACATGCACGAATATAGAAAAAACAGGCTTTAATAGTAGGGGAGCTTTGTCTTTGTTGTATTGGAAATATGGTTAGGGACGTTTAGTATACAATTATTCATGGGGCCTAAAGATTCGAAATGAATTCGACATTTGTCAAATTTAAAATACAAAATTTGTCGATTCATTGTAAAACAATAAAATACGGTATAACTTATAAGGTGTGTATATATTAAAAATATGGTAAAATGGGGTATTTATAGGGAAAAAGAAGGAAACACGTGTTGGGTCTCCGGCAAGCATAGCACGCGTCACGCATGCAGCGGCCGAGCTTAAGAGGCGCGCCGCACCGACCACGTTTATTAAGATTTCTGAATCATTTGGACCACTGCTGCTGAATTTGGCTGAAGGAACTAAGGTCTTACGGCTTTGGGAACCACAGGTTGGGTAGGCGGCCCCGACCTGATATGGTCGGGGTGAGACAATGGGAAACAAGTTTTGCTGGCGAAAGATACCATGTTCGGTCCACGATCTAGGTCGAGTCCGCGTCCAAAGGGGTCGGTCATGATCGGACATCGTCTTACTCGGTGGGTGACCTCGGTACCGATCAAGTATACCATACGGTGCGATCGGGAATAATTATCATCAAGTAGCCCCCAACCTATGGCATGATGGTCTAGGAGGAAGGGTTCAGGCTGAGAATATCTGACTGGGAACCCTTGAAGCCCCTCCTTTCGGGTTAGGATCGAGTGTGATGCAAGTGCACAATGTGGAACGCGGGTCATTGTTTGCGTGGGCCGCTGAGCATGTGTCGGGTGCCCATCGTTTGCCCCGTGATCCGCCTTGTGCTTCGGAATTTTAAAAGTTTTTCCTGCCTGGGCTCATGAATGACGTGAGGTCAGAGGATCCTGAGCTATATAGTGGTATGTAAGAAATGTCTAAAAGTCCCCCTCTTGGCCATAAATGCGGTATTTATATGGAAAATAAATGAGACACATATCGGGCCCCCGGCATGCATAGCACGTGTCACGTATGCAACGGTCGGGCTCGAGAGTCGTGCCGCACTAGCCATGTGGATTAAGATTTTTAAATAGTTAGGGCTCACCGTTACTGAATTTGGCTGAAGGAACTAAGCTCATACAGCTTTGGGGACCACAGGTGGGGTAGGCGGCCCCAACCTGATATGGTCGGGGTCAAACAATCGGAAACATGCTTTAATTTGCTAGCAAGTGAGACTATGTTCGATTTGCAATCTAGGTCGACTCCAAGTCCAAAGAGATCAATCATGATCGAACACGGTCTTACTCGGTAAGCGATCTAGGTACTGATCAAATATATGGTGCAATCGCAAATAATCCCCATCAACATTTCACAATTTATCTCAATTTTCAGAGCTGGAGCTAAAACTTTTTAATGTGTACACACATGTGATAAAGACATAAAACCCGCCATTTCAAATAACTTTAAATTCTCATGTAACCCCACGCTTTTTGTATGGAATCAATTATTGATTCTTATATTTACTATATACTACTGTTCAGTACTCCGATCCATACGCCATTACTCCTTTTGTATTAACCTGTGATGACAAGACAGTTGGCCAACCTTAATCCTTAATGGTTAATACCACTATTGGTCTTATTATATGGCAACAAATTATTTGTTGATGGGTTGTTGTTCTGCTGTCATCCACCTCATCTATATCCTATACCGGTTCACACATATATTGATTTACTTTTTCCACCCATATATATATAGTATACGAGGTGTGAGAGATTTAAGCTTGACGTTCAAACTTATATATATTGTGCGTTTTGAAATAAAAATCACATAGTTACGAATGAATGAAGTGTGATTTAAGTGAAAAGAATTTGATTTTTTAAAAGAATAATGTGTTTTTTTTTATCCATCTCTTATATATATATATATATATATATATATATATATATATATATATATATATATATATTGTGTACTAATTGGAACATATACATCGATTTACTTTCTCCACCCGTCTTCAAGGCATGAGTTCTGAGAGCCATGAGTTTGAACTTCAAACTTACTATATATTGTGTGTTTTTAGATAAAAATCTTGTAGTTACTGATGAATGAAGTGTGATTTAAGTGAACCGAATTTAATTTTTTAAAATAATAATGCTATTTTTTCTTTTCTTGGGTAGTGAGGGAAACCTACCATCACTTTTCGAGGTGTATATGGGGTAAATCTTGTTCATTTATAATAGTACAATACGTACGATAATTATGTTTTACCCACCCACTGCTCGTTTTTTATGCTTTATTTTTCATTTTAATTTTACCTCATGATATTCACATCTTGATGTGATAATAAAATTAATTTTATTAATAGACTATCATGACTTTTCTTAAAATGTATACTTACTAATGAAATATAAAAAGTGAGATTTTACACCAAAATGACTTAAAAAAAATTGTTTCATGACTAGAATCCTGCTTCATAGTATAAAAATAACAAGGTTGAAAAAATCGTTAGGTGCCCTCTAGGCGCCTGGGGACCGCCTAGAGCGCCTAGGCGGGCGCCTAGAGCGATTAATCGACGCCTAGAGTGCTTAGGCGGGCGCCTAGGCGTCGATTAATCGGCGCCTAGGCCCGATTTTTGCAACACTGAAAAATAATAAAACAAATAATGCAATCAGATATAAAATCGATACTAGTGTTTAGCATTAAGTTCATTTTTTTAGAGTTGTATATTGACCTTTTTTATTTGAACAAGTCAGTTATAAGTAATTTAGATTAATTTATTTTAGTGTGGTCATTTAACGGAGAAAATTATTGATTTGGTCCCCCGACTATGAGGATTTCACTAATTTGATTCTCGACTTCCAAAATTCCTCAATTCCGTCCTCTACTATGTCATTTTTACTCGATTTGGTCCTAAAGTGGCATAGTCGAGGACCAAATCGGGTAAAAATGGCATAGTCGATGACGAAATTGATGAATTTTGAAAGTCGAGAACCAAATTGGTGAAATCCTCATAATCGGGGGACCAAATCAGTAATTATCTCTCATTTAACGACTTGATTTTAATTTTATTCTTACGACACATTCAGGTAACATGTGAGATGATTACTTTACTCCTCAAATTAACATCTACTTAACATTCAATTGACGGAATGACCAACATTAGAAAGATTTAGAAAGTCAAGTGTCTAAATTGTCCAAATTAAAAGTTGGGAACCAACTGTGGAAAATCAACATAGTCGGAAGACCATTACTGGAATTAACTCTAATTGGTTTAATAAATAATAGGCTGAAGTGTCAAATGGACTCATCTACTACTGCGAAGTGCTCAATTCTCACACCGAACTAAATTAAAGCCTAATCAGCCACACTTACCAGCTAAATTTGTTAGATTGACTTTTTTAACAGGTTGCCTATTCAATTATTAAAATAAAAAAATAAAAAAATTAAAAAAATTAAAAATTCAGCCACCGACTGTCAAACATGAGGTCCAAATCTGGACCTCAAACGGCCTGGAACGAGGCGGCGGCCATGGTCGCCGCCCTTAGGGGTGACCACGGTTCCGGTCCCGTTTCGAAATGGCCGGTTCGGATTCCGCAAATGGATAAACCGGAACAGGAACCGCAAAGTACGGTTTCGATTTCGGTTTATGAACCTACGGTTCCAGTTAGAACCGCATATTCTAACCGGATTAAAAAAAAAAAATAGAGGCTAAAGAGGCAAAGACCAAATGAAGTCTTTGCCTCTTTGCGCCACTGCTAACTGCCCACGGCCCAATGCGGCAGTGAGGCAGTATGCTGCAGGCGTAGGCCTTCAGCCATCAATTTAATTTATTATTATTATTATTATTATTATTATTATTATTATTATTATTATTATTATTATTATTATTTTTACGGTTTGGAACCGGAACTGTCCTGTTCCGAACCAGGACCGGCGGTTCCGATTCCAATATTGTAGTAACCTTAACTAGAACCTATAGGTTAGGAACCGGAACCAGAACCGTACGAACGGTTCCGATTAGCACAGTAACAGTTTCGATTCGAACCGAACCGTGGTCACCCCTAGCCGTCCTCGTTCCAGGCCGTTATGGACGACCATGGCCGTCTAAAAAATTTTTGAATTTTTTTGTCTTCCATGGCCGCCGCCCTCGTTCCAGGCTGTTTGAAGTCCAGATTTGGACCTCATGTTTGACAGCTGTGGCTGTCCGGTTGTCCTCGCCGGACGGACGGCCAGACAGCCACGACTTTCTGTGAAATACGCAGCCACCGGTTGTCCTCGCCGGACAGCCGGTGGCTGATTTTTTTTTTTTTAATTTAAATTTTTTAATTAAAATTTTTAATTTTTTAATAATTGAATAGACAACGTGTTAGCAACTTGCAAAAAAAAAGTTAATCGAACAAATTTAGCTGATAAATGTGATTGATTAGACTTTAATTTAGTTCGTAGTGAGAATTGAGCACTTCATAGTAGTAAACGGATCTATTTGACACTTTTACCTAAATAGTATTTAAAAAAAAAGACCAATTTTCAAATATCGACAGCAGAAATGTGAAAATTATGCCCACCGACATTTGGCTCATTGTGCCCACTCACATTTGGTCTTGTGAGCCATGAAAAAAAATATTAATTTTATTTAAAATTTTGGCACTAAACCACGAATTTGAAAAGAGTTGACTATAAAAGTGTCAAACACGAAAATATTTGGATTTTTCTTGCAAAAGGCTAATATATATAACACGTTTTCAGTGATTTCATATTTACAGTGGTAATTGCATGGAGAGCGAGAGAGGTAAAGAGGAAGGAGGGAGACCGGAGACTTGACAGGGAAGACTTAAGCAGAGGAGTTTGGGAAGGAGAGGTGAATAGTCAACCATTACCGGTGCCGCCGGTCAATGGTTGATAAACCGTTCTCTCTCTCTCTCTCTCCCCCCTCTCTCTCTCTCTCATTAAACTCGTCTCTGCAACTCTCTTATTCCCCATATCTTATTGGGTATTTGGGTGTGTGGTAGTTGAGGAATTATTCACCAGAAAGCTCTGACCTTTGTATTGCTAAAAGGTCGAGTTGTCTCCAGGTTTCCCCTCCGCCATTTCTGGGTTTTGGAAAAGCTCGGCGAAGAACGGAAGAAACATGGCTGTAAGACCAAGTCCTTTTATTTTATTTTATTTTTATTTCTCAATAACGTTGTCTATACTTCTTCCGGTGTTTGCATTGTTCATTTGTTCTTCTGCCTTGGGTTCAGATATTCTTTGTGGTGTTGTGAATTCTAGAAGTTAAATCTTTGATGGTGTGTATTATCTATTGAATTGCATGATGCCCTTGTTTCAACATTTTGATTGTATGCACATTTGTGAGTGTTCTGACTGTGTTAAGGGGTAATTTCATAGGCTTGGGTTGTGCTCTAGCACTGTTTCAAGCACTGTTAATGTAATTAGATTTGATTCATTATGAAATCATGATTATTTATTTATTTTTTTGTTCTTGGTGATTGTTTGAGAATTGGGATCTTGTTGTCTGCTACAGTACTTTTTGAGTGACTAGGAAACTTGTAGCTACTATATGAGGATGTGCATATGGTAAATCCCTCCTTGTTGATCCTTGCTGACAAAGGATCACACCTAGCTCACACGGGCTTAAATCACTGGTTCAGTAGGTAATATTTGGGAGAAGAGATCAACGTTCAAACCTCGGCAGCAGCAGTGTGGGGTGTGGGGATTATGTCAAGAGTGGGCAGATTCTTTGTGCGCACTGGCATTTGGCCCTGTCTGCTGAGCCATTGAGTCACCATGATTTACATCATCTCAAATGCTCTGCCGGGCCAGGGTGTGGGGGGCCTTTGGGGTTTGGGATTCAACCTTTTGGGAGAAGAAAAGTATCACACCTAGGTAAACCAGCCTAGGTCGCCCATAGCTGATCGGCTCAAACCAAGGTAAACCAGCCTAGGTCACCCATAGCTTATTGACTCAAACCAAGGTAAACCAGCCTAGGTCGGCCATAGCTGATCGGCTCAAACCAAGAAGGCCAATAGGTGACTCCTCTTGGGAGTCGAACTTGTAACCTCGTGGTTACTAAGTCAAGTTGGGGTTGCCCCATGTCTGTTAAAGTACTTGGTTTCATGCTTGGAGCCCTTTTTGTGTACTTCAGATTGTTATAAGCTATGCTTGAGGCTTTGTAATTAAGATTAGTATACATCAATTTTGTCATCAGGAGCTATATATGTCACAGAGGCTTGCTGAGATTATGCAGTATACATCTTTCAGGGACACGCGTTTTCTGGTTGATTACTTTGTCTAGGACTATTTGTTGCATTATGTTCTTTGTTTATGGCCACCATATGTATGATAGTTTCCATATAAACTGTGTATAAGTTTATTTACTTAGTTCCTGCAGTTCTTATTCAATGAAAATTAGAATGGCTTGCTGGTACATATTGTTTAATTGCACAAAACAATTGTAGATGCGTTGAAATAACCATTACTCGTATGTCTGAGGCTTGCTGAGATTATGCAGTTGAACCATTACTCATATTTTCTCGTTTTCTTGATTTCTTCCTTAGCGTTTAGTTGTGCCCCTCAAACCCGGTCACCCACCACTATCATTGCTAGAAGTAGATAACCTAAAGTTTGAGTTATAGTATGAACAACCGTGTGAGATGATTGCATAACCTTAAATCCATGTAATTCCGTGAAAGCAGAGCTCAAATGTCCCAAAGTTTGGGAACTGGGATACCGAAGAAAATGTGCCCTACACTGTCTTTTTTGACAAGGCCAGGAAAAATAAAGGTGGAAAGATGATCAATCCAAATGATCCCCAAGAAAATCCCGAGATGTTCCAAAGCAAGGCTCCTTCTGCTGCCACGCCTACCCCTCCTACATCCAAGCCCAGAGTTCAATCCGAGGAACCAACAGGGTACGGTGGAGTTAGGCCAACAGATAAGTGCCCAGTGAGCAGGGAAGATGGTGACTTGCAGCCGTATGGAAGTTCTCCAGCACGGCATGATAACGTGGACAGGAGACGTCGTGCATCAGAATCTGCAGCCAGACCTGTTAGACAAAGTGCGGGTTCTGATCGCAGCTTTGACAAATCGCCCCTTCACCCAATTCACCAGGCGAAGGCTGCCACTGGTAGAGGTGGCGCATCTCCTGCCCGAGAAGGGAAGTATTCATATGAGAGTAGTCATGGTACGCCTGGAAGGTCTTATAATAGTAGCCACGGGACCCCTGGGAGGTCTTACGGTAACAGCCATGGTACTCCTGGAAGGTCTTATGATGGTAGCCAGGCTGCAGCTGGGAGAACCCGGGCAAGGCCAGAAAGCGTAAGAGTTTTTCATTATCTTATTTCTTTGAATTTCATCTCGGTGGTCAATGTAGCTAACTATATTTCATGTCTTTCTCGTGACAATTGTGTGCTTTTGAGCAGCCTGATAGAGGCACTGCAGTCCCAAAGTTCGGGGACTGGGACGAGAAAGATCCTCAATCAGCAGATAACTTTACTTACATTTTCAACAAAGCGCGAGGTGAGAGGCACGGAGAACCCACAAATGCATCTGCCACCCCATCTCGACCTACCACGAGAGACCAACAAGATGAAAATTTTCAGGTACTTCTTTTTGTTTAGTACTACTGACTCTGTTACGATGTAGTATCTGTTCATAGCTACTTTCTCAACCTACTGAAACACAAACAGTCAATATAATACTGCCCACCGGGGCATGAACCCATGACCTCCCATTTGGGAGAGCCACTTCGTGCCACTAGACCACAAGGTCATTGGCAAAATTTTCAAGTACTTTTTTTTTAGTACTACTGAGTCTGTTACAATGTAGTATCTGTTCATAGCTACTTTCTCAACTTACTGAAGCACAAAGAGTCAATATAATACTGCCCCACCGGGGCATGAACCCATGACCTCCCATTTGGTAGAGCCACTTCGTGACACTAGACCACAAGGTCATTGGCAAAATTTTCAGGTACTAGTACACCATAGATAACACACGAAAATGATTCATAGTCTGAAGGTTCAATTACCTGTAGCTTTCAGCGCCGCTTCCTTCTGTGATCATCATGTACGAGTTTACATTTCCTCGTCTTCTGATCTTCTCAGCAACGCCTTTTCTTTCTGTGCAGAAGCGTTGCTGTCCCTGGTGGTAGCAAAGATGAAAATCCCGATTGATTTTGGGGGTATTTATACCGATACTGTTCGTGTAAGTAAATCAAGAGGCTTTTGTGATGCAGAATTTGGTGTATTCTTGTCTTGACAGCTCTTTCTATTTATAAAACATAGCATTCTGCACTCATGCTGTGTGGCGTTATAGATTGAATTTCCAATTTATGTAACAATTTAGTTTGAAATTCTTTGTTTGTGTTTTGTTTGCTTGATACTTGTGATTTCTTTGGCACTGAGCATTCTATCATTGAGGAAGGGTGATATAATTTTATTTTATTTTTTCATTTACACATTCAAATATTTATGTTTCACAGCTATTTCGTGTTCAGTCGTTATGAGCCTATGATGGATGTTTTACATTACTCAAAATGGACGATTTTTACCTCTCTTGTGTGGTTTTCTAATAAGTACACTTTTACAACCCGTTTTGTTTGCGGAAAGAAGTGTAAAAGGAACATGATGGGGCTATTTGGTAAATAGCGGTTAGCTGATTGAATTAGTGAGTTTGACTAGTTGATAGTATTAGCTGATTGTAGAAAGATGTTTCGTAGATTAGTTGTTAGTTGATAGCTGATTATATACAAAATGACTTTTTTCAAAAAACTGATCAAAAAAGTTGCTTTGAACAGTTTTTTGATGTGAATTGGGGTTGATATGAGCTTGTGTGCAAATCCTTGGACTATATTCTTTAGGCTTGAACCCAAAGGGTAGCTCAAGTGGCAAATGAGCTCTCTTTGTGGGGGAGAATTCTGGGATAACCTAGGTTCAATTCCCACAAGTGATGATTCCTTCTGTGCCTCTCGTAGCGAACTGGGTGGACTTGAACCATTAAACAGACAGAGAAAGACCTGTACCACATTGTGGTTTACATAAAAAAAAATATTCTTTAGGCTTGTAAATTGTGTGGAGTAAGAATTATTATGATGTGGTGCTTGAGAGTAATTTGTAAGTCGTGATTGAGAAGATTTGTAAATGGATTAATGTTGGGACTATTCTTTTATATTGTGTATGCCATTCAATAGTTGTCTCATTAAGTTTGGTCTTGTTGTATGCTTCATATAATCATATAGGGTGGATGTAATTCGAATTATCCAAACTAATACTGAAATTTGAATGGAAGTTTAAATTTTGGGTGAATTCAAATAGATATCAATTTGAATATTTTAATTATGGTATATCTAAATATAAATTCAGTTTAGATATTGAGTGTTAAAATTATACTCTTAATTTTACACTTATTTTATAATCTAAAAAATTGTACACTTCCACTTATTATAATTTTTTATAATTATAATTTGACGTTTAACTTTATTATTTTTAAATATATATTTTAAAAAAATAATATCCGTGCATCGTATAGATAATTTACTAGTTTGTCTATAAATGAAGTTTTATTATAGCTATAAAAATATAAATTATATATTGACTATTAAATATATTTTGTTATTAATATTTATTAATTTTCAAAACTCTAATAGTTAATTATTAGTATTTTGTTTTATGTTTAGTTTGATAGTATACGAAATATTATAGATGCACTAATGAATTTATTTTAAAACTTAAAATTGATAAAAATAAAATTTTAAGTATACCCAAATTAACCCAAAATAAATTCACCCGAACTAAATATAATCGAATTAAGTTTGGTTCGGATATCGAGTATAAAAATACTCCGTAGCACCCAATTTTTTAGATACTCGAAATAAAATTTGTGTATCACTCGAACCAACACCCCACCCCTAATCATATATACCATGAAGTGAATTTTTTTGTTGGCATGACTTTATCACGATATTTGTAGTTGGTTCCCTTTCTTTGCAAGTTTGATTCTTATTAGCGAGAACAACTTATTGGTTTTCTTAGTTCGAGTCAGTCAGTTATGAGCAATCTAGGTTGATTTACGTCATGGTCTTTTATTGGCTATGATTATAAGGCGGAATGCAGAATTACTCAGTACACATTATCGAATAATAAATGTGAATTTTTTTCATCACTCAAAAAAAAATTATTAAAACAAATTACAAATCAAACATGAGAATTTACAATTTCAAAAAATTATTGATTATACTACAAAATGAAATATTTTCTTCACTTTAAGTTAATCTTCAGTTATTTTCAAAAAAAAAAAAAAAAGAAGTTAATCTTCAGTTTAATGAAAGGAATGTTAGTCTGTTCACTTTCGAAGATTCCCACGTGAAGCCGCGAAAGTAAACAGTCAAACACCATATTGAAGGGCAATCTCGTCATACGATCGCATTTAGCTACTGTATTTAAATTCGCCACCAAATCATTCACCGCCAAAATTTGGCGGTCCCTAAAATTTTCAAAGTTTCAGAGACAGCAAAAACACCATATTCAAAGTTCAAACTAAAATATCCCAATCTCTCTCTCTCTCTCTCTCTCTCTGTGACATGAAATTTCCAATTGCTCGAGTCACAGCTAGATTGAAGTAGGAGAGCTCAAAGTCACTTTCTTTTATCTGCAGTATTCATCTCAATTTCAGGTATTTATACAAAACCCTAATTTGCGTTTCAACGCACTCTTTCCTTGTATAGATCCGAGGGGTTAGGTTGCAAATCCTCAATTTCTTTCATATGTACACATTGAATCAAATTCCGAGCACTTGGAAATGGATGAATTCCGTCAGATTTAAGTGTGTAATTTGAATTATTGAAATAATCTTAGACTCAGATTCAGTTGAGTAAGCCCTTGATTTGATGTTGTTTGATTATTTAAAGGTTTTTATTGATAATTTGCACGCCCAGTAGAGAAATAATGGTGAGAGAGCACAGCATTGAGTCGTTTTATACTAGGTTGCGCAGTTCTGCTTTAGCTTCAGCCTCTTCCACCCCTCTGTTAGTGTTTCCCTCGACTTCGGATGTTGATTCTCTTTGTGCTTTAAAGATAATAGGCCATGTTCTCGAGCTGGATTCTGTTAGATATGCTTGTTATCCTGTTTCTAGTTTTAAAGAGATACATAAGTACACAGGGACTGATTTGGGTTCAACTGCTGCTGAGCCAATTACTATTTTGTTGATAAATTGGGGGTGCCAAAGGGATCTACGGAAGATTCTGGATGTAGGCCCTTCAACTCGAGTTTTTGTTGTGGATAGTCATAGGCCTATCCATTTGCACAATTTGAGTGATCAGAATGATAGGGTAGTTGTTCTTTACACTAGGGATGATGAGCAACAGGCAGATTTGGCGTATGATTTTGATGTTTCTGCTCTGGCCAGTGCGGGCGATTTGAACAGTGATGATGAATTTGAAGATGATTCTGATAGTGAAGATGAGAATGAAAGTGAGAGTGATGAGGAGGATGGGGTAGGGACTCGGAAGAAGAGGAGAGTTTCTGCAGACAGTGAGAGTGATCCTGTTAAGCTTTTCAGGAAATTGAAAAAGGAATACTATTATATGGGTACCTTTCATGGGAAGCCATCTGGATGCCTGATGTATGAACTGGCTCATTTTTTGAGGAAGAACACAAATGAGTTGCTTTGGTTAGCTTGTGTTGCTTTGACTGACCAGTTTGTTCATGAGAGACTGACAGATGAAAGATACCAGGCTGGTGTAATGGAGCTTGAGCAGCATATTAATAGCTCGGGCAACTTAGATTCCATTACCTCAGTCACTCTCAAGGATGGAACTAAGGTCACAGCTCCTGATTCCTCAAGAATTGTGTATGAGGATGAGCCGAGGCTAATGTTGTTACAGGAGTGGAACTTGTTTGATTCAATGTTGTGCTCATCCTACATTGCAACTAAACTGAAGACTTGGAGTGACAATGGGATTTTAAAGATGCAGCTCCTTCTAGGTCGAATGGGGTTTGCACGTGATGAGTGTAAACAAAAGTTTGAGTACATGAGTGTTGAGATAAAAAAGAAAATGAAGGATATGTTTGAGCAGCATTTGCCAGAATTTGGGCTCACAGATTTCTATTACCGAGGGTTCTTGCTCTTGCATGGTTACAGTTCAAAACTGTCTGCAGCAGATGTGGTATATGGAGTCACTGCAATGCTAGAATCATCTATAGAGTCAGATGGTTCATGTGCTTCCAGACAGTTTGGAGAGGCTTATGATGCATTGTCATTTAATAAGCTCGAGAAGCTGGAAACAGGAATGCGACAGGCTATCAGGGTTCAAAGGGCAATTCTTAGACAAGGTAGCACCGCAATAACCAAGAAGGGGTCAATCCGAAGTGGGAGTAAATTCAGATGGGTTAAACTTGAAGATTCATCAGACACAAAACTCTTGTGTTACCCTCAGGCTTTAACCAAGTTTGGCTATTTTCTGATGGACGCCTTACGCGAGAAGGGAGCAAGAATGAAGCCACTACTATGTGTCTGCTACGACCAAGAACGGAAAAAGGTATTGATTGTTGCAATCTGTGGAAAACCTCGGCTTGGTGCAGTGCAAGGGAATGCATTCGGGCTCGCTTTCAGGAGTGCAGCTGAAGAGACTGGAGCCGAGTTCTTCCACGAACTGTTTGAATCTTCATGGATAGTCTTGGATGCATTTGCAGTAAATTCATTCATGATTAGGCTTACAGAGAAGCTTTGGTGATGTTCTCATAGATAACCTTTTCTTTTTAACCTTAACTGTGTTTCTGTTATTCAGATTTCAGAGTCAGTTCTTTCTTCCATTGTAACTGTTTTACTGTCTGAATAATTCATAGGCGACAAACTTTATCGCCTTTTAACCTTCTGCTCTTCTACATTCCTTCTTACATGTATTGTGGTTTGCAGTCAGCTTGAATCATGTCCAAGCTTTATGTTCCTGTCTGTAAGTTATTACTCCAAATTATTAACTCTATCTGTAGTTATGTACCATTGTCACAAGTTTTTTATTTACTTATTTCATTTCTTTTATCACTTTGAGATTATTCGAATTTAGTGTCAATAGAAATTTTTTAATTTCAATAATATATTGTCACACAATTCATACCTCTCAACACGTTGGACAAATAAAGGATGTTTGGAAAGTAGAATTTTGTATTGATTTGATAGTGTTAGGAGTTGATAATATAATGGCAGAGGTGAATTCCTCCATTCTTTCCAAATGTTGATTGAGGACCCATTCATTCCCAACCCTCCATCTACAAGGAGCAATTATTAAAGTACTTAGCTCTGAAAACTTTGGTAACTAAGGAGTCATGATATTGGATAAATCTCCAGACTTGTTTATCTAGTAATGTCATGTCAAATTCTCTGATTCTCCTAAATTCCATACTCTCGGAGAACTTTGGTTTTCACAAATCATAGGTCACAGTATAACAACCGAACTCTCCTAAATATTTTCCGATCAATTCCACCGCTTTCATATTTGTGAGCTGCTTATTGATCTTGTGAATCTGGATTCAGAAATTTGCCCGACTTAAATCCTCATCAAATGGGACCTTCTCATACAAAATGAGTAGGAGAAGAGAAACGAAGAAACTTGTTAGTATCTGTACTTTCCATTCAGTTGTATAGGAATAATAATAATAATAATAATAATAATAATAATAATTATTATTATTATTATTATTGTTAACTAAAATATGAAGATTTAAAATAGAATAGTTAAAATAATTTCTTAAAATACGTTCTAGTTTATTCTTATTTTTATTTTCTTCCAAAAATGTGTTTCTAAAAGGTACTACGTATTTAGAAAAAAATTGTGTTAGACCTCCTTTCACTTTTCAATTCACTTTTAAAAAATTTGCAATAATTTGAATTTGATTATTATTATTATTATTATTATTATTATTATTATAATTTTTCATCAGAGGGAAATTCAGAACACTAAAAAGAATAATATAATTTAGATTTGAGTAATTAAAATTTAAACCGACTCAACGTAAGTTACAATAATACATTTGGATTATTAAGTAAAAAAGATAATAATAAAAAAAAAGTAGTCAAATGTAAGTCGTAAATTCTTGTATTTGATGACTACAAATTTAATTTTATTAATACTTTCTTAGTCAATATTTTTGCAATATAGTTTATTACGGAGGAGTATTATTATTTTTATACTCCGTAATTTGTAAATTATTAGTGAGATTTTCGTAATGTATATCTTCTTATTATTACGCAAGTGCTGATGTCGTCACATATCCCGAAAACGTTAAAGTACACATGATTTAGCATATGTGTTTTGCCACGTGTCACACAGACCAGGCTAAGGGAAAGACGTGCCGGGTTTGTCATTTCGCCGCACCGACCCGGTTTAGCGTACCCGTTCCAACCCCCAAATCAAATTCGCAACACTTTCCAAAGAGATCTGTCGCTTTAAAATCTTCCCCGAATTAGAACCCTAGACTAGATTACACCCAGGACCATAAAACACAATTCTGCTTCTCATTCGTCTCCTCGATACTCGTAGGTTTTGCGTCTGCCGCTTGTGGTTGGAGTTCTCGGAGCGCTTCCTTGATTTAGGTTTGATTGATTTTCCCTTCTCTGTTTCTTTTGATTTTGTCGATTGATTGATAATCTGATCTTCGTTTCGTTTGATTATAGCTGAATGGATTAAGTTTTCTGGTGTTATTGTGGATTTTGGTGTTCTAAAGTTACTAATTTGTTTGATTTGATTGGTTCATCTGTCGTTTTATTTATTTATTTTTATTTCTAATGCTCCTGAAGCTGATTTTGTTATATGCTATCATGCTCTCTGGAAGTATGGATTTTTAAAAATATATATATGTTTAGTGACCTAATCTGGTTACTTCCTTTGAATGCTAAATGGTCAAGTAGCTACAGTAAAATTTTGATAAGGAAGATTTCAACTATGAGAGCTAGGGTAGATGACCTTTGTTTCCTTTGAAATTAAGAAAAAGTGTTAAATTTGATTGCTTTTTCATTCTTGTTTTTGTTTGTGCTTTGATGCTCTCAAGTGATGCATAGTGAAGTTAGGGTGGGGAAGTATCCCTGCAGGAAGGTTAAGTTTCTGATGATGAGTAACTAAATTTATCTTTGCTTTTCTTATTAGCTTGCAGCTTTGCCAGAATCAGAATGAGAATCTAGACTTAACAATATAAAAATATGACCTTTCCTTGTATCTTCTATTGTAAAATTTTACTTAGGCTAAGCTTGTAAAGAAGGAGCACATTTTGCATTGACATATTCTTGTGACGGGGTGCATGCCTTGTTCCTGTTCTAATGATAGAAAACTACCTGACTTTTTCTTAGGGTATATAAGGCACATCTACCCGTTGATCATAGTATGAGCACTCAGGAACAAAGGGCTCAACCTCACAGGTACACACGGGGATTTCAGAGGAGGAAGAGGTTATTAAATGTTGATCTCAATGCTGTGCCATCATGGGAGCACCTGGATCATGAGGGAACTTCAGCTCCTGTTGTTTCTCAAGATGTGCCACCCGGTCAAAGAGTTGCTTCTTTGACATCTGAAACAATTGATATTGATGGGCTTGATGATGATGATGATGTTGTTATTATATCCTCTCCTCGTGCACTTGCTGAAGTATGTCTTCTATACTGTGTACATATGCTCATTTTAGTAAATTAGTTCTAGTGGCATTTAAAAATTATGCTGGATTTCACATATCATGGCTAATTAGTTTAGTGGTTTTTTAATTTCCTCTTAGGCTAAAAACAACTCCATGAGGAATCGTCGGCAGACTGTTGTGGTTAATGTGGATTCTGGTAATACATTTTTTTCCTTCATGACCTTTTTTTTTTAGTACTACTGACCCTGTTACAATGCAGTATTTGTTCATAACTACTTTCTCAACCTATTGAAGCACAAAGAGTCAATATCGTCTCCCCTGAGGCTCAAACCCACAACCTCCCATATGGGAGAGCAACTTGGTGCCAGTGTGCCACTAGACCACAAGGTCCTTGGCTTCCTTCATGACCTTAATTTGCCATTCTCTGTCTTATATGCCATGAAATATAATTTATTTTGTGGAGTAGTAGGTCAGTTAGTTTGAGTTTAATTTTGTAAGTGCTGCTTTTTGGGGTGGGAAACTACTCTGCATGTTCGGAACTTGAGACTTGAGTACTGACATTCTGCATTTGCCTAAAAGAAATTATCCCAGTGCTTCAATATCTCACCCGTTCTTTCTGTTCATTGGATGTCTTTAGTGAAGTTTCTGATTGATTAATTACTGTGCAGAAGAGCATTTGTCTAGGGTCCCTCCTCATAACACCTACAAGCGCAGAAGATTTCCTACACATCAGTCAGTTATAAACCTTGAAGGATATAGCAACTCAAAGGTGATAATGCAATTCCTCTATGCTCTCTAATTACAGGCAATTTGTGTCTTGAATATTTCTTTTTGTTGATGTTTCACTTTTTATGTTCCCTGCTCCTGCAATTTATTGTCGATTTCCCACATTTCACAACTTAGCATAGGTTTTTTTCCCCTCGTACTAATGAAGTGCCCTGGTATGAAATCCAGGGAGATAATGACCCATTGGTAGCGGTAGCTCCACCTCCACCTCCACCAAAGGAGCCTACATTCAGTTGTCCAGTTTGCATGGGTCCATTAGTCGAGGAGATGTCAACCAAGTGTGGTCATATTTTTTGTAAGGCGTGTATCAAAGCTTCCATAGCTGCTCAGGGTAAATGCCCTACATGTAGGAGGAAGATTACCATGAAAGGCACCATTAGAGTTTACCTGCCTGCCACAAGCTGAGCTTGGTGGTTAAACACCCCACCCCTGCCCCTCTCCCCTTGTGCTGCGGTAATAGCGCCTTGGGTAAGCATACTTAGATATAGAGAAACTGGAAATTTATGTCTCGACATCCTATTATCTTTTGACAATGCAACCCTTGCTGCTTTTTATGCATGAAAAACTCGCTTTCAGACAATTTCTTGTAAATCTTGAAGTGCTCTTTTAGATGAATGAACAAAATCCAGATTGACAATGCAACCCTTGCTGCATTTTATGCATGAAAAACTCTCTTTCAGACAATTTCTTGTAAATCTTGAAGTGCTCTTTTAGATGAATGAACAAAATCCAGATTGCGCAAGTACACATAAAGTTAATTGTTTTTTGCACAGCCCATGTTTGGTTTGGTTAGGTCTTTTTAGTTTGAGTTAGTCAGTTATGGATAACCTAGTTAGGTTTACCTTTTTGTGGTTCTTTGCCGGTTAAGGTCACAAGGCGAGATTTACTCAATGGACACCCCTGAACAGTGACTGCGGGTTTTCTTGTCACAAAAAAACAAAAGACAACATAAACCTTAATAATCGGATGCTAACAGAATTACTACATAGGACTATGAGTTCATACATTGGTAATATAGTACAATAAAATCATTGGGACACCATTGCTAGTCAAACTGCCACCACTATAGAGCCCTATTATCATTCTATATTCTAAATGCACTACAAATGAATAGAAGCTGAATCCTATTCATAGGCTTTGATTCCTTAAAATTCATCAAGAGCAATCAGGAGGAAAGAGCCAAAAACTTACTCTATAATGGCCATTTTCATCTATAACAAAAACACAGTTCATCTTTTAGCAGGTTTCTTTCTCCATTCAGTGCGACCCCTATTAACTTCAAGTCCGACACCGGATAATCTCAGCAAATGCAAGAAGCGCTTGTTTGGACTAGCACCATCGTCGGTTGGTTCAAGACTGGCGAGAGAATCAACCACATCGCCATGCTGGCATTCGCATCTATAATCTAGTGTAATGGTTTGTAGTTCATGTGTGTCGATGATTTCTTGTGGTATACTCTGCCATTAACGTGAATTTGAGGTTAGTAGAGGTGATTTCGAAAATGATAGAACAGAAAACGCGATTTTCCTAACCAGCCGAACAAAAAATTGTCTCCCTATGTTTTGATCCTACCTGTGTAACTATGAATTTAGAATAAAATACTTGAAAGAACGTAAGCTAAATCATCGAGAACTTGGAAGTTTAGATTCTACAAACCTCGAGAACCCATCCAATGTAGGCGACATTATTTACATGTTGGTTCATATCCAAATCAGCTCTTCGCGGCTGCAAATAAAGCACAAAACACTTGAGTATTGGCGCGGAGAATTTTACTAGGTATTCATATTTTCAAAATTTTAATACTAACCACCATCCCTAGTCGAGAATACTCAGCAGGATCTTCTAGTTTAGCTATTTTCTTTACGCTGCCATTGTTCTCCTCTGGGAAAGCTAGCCTAGCATCCACAACAAAAGAATGATAGAAGAACAAGTCAAATTTCATGAAAATATGCCTGGAAAGGAATATAGATTCTAACTTTCTAAGACAGACATGGAAAAAACACATCCCTCTCATCAAATTAAAGGTTGTTCTTAACTCGGGGGTAACCCTAGCCAAGTTGGTCAGACTGTTGACTTAGTAACCACAAGGTTACAAGTTCAACTCCCATGAGCTGCCTATTGGCCTTCTTATTTTGAGCCCGTCAGTTATAGATAACCTAGGTTGGTTTTTCTCATTGTGCTCCTTTGCGGGCTAAGGTTAAAAGGCGGAGGTTTATTTAGTCCACACCCTTGGGTTTTTCTCGTCACTCAAAAAAAAAAAAGTTGTTCTAAATCAGTATAAATTGGACCAGCATTCATCTATAATTCATCTACCACATAATTACCTATACTACACGAAAAAGTTCATTTAGCTGTGATATAACCTAAAGATACAGGGCAACCCGGAACTATTGTTATTCCAATTAAGTGCAGCTAAGACTGAGCTAACAAGGAAGAAAAGTCATGCCATTAAAAGAAAGAGGGTACGTCTTTCAAAAGGGTAGAAATGAGGAACTAAGAGATGAAAGGTTTACCTCGGTTCTTTTGGGAAGTAAATTAGACACTCATCACGAACATCATCTGTAACTTTCTGAAGCCGTCTGGTGTCTTGGTTCATCATCACCCACTTGCTGCAATTAATGGACATTAATCTTCAGCTTCTTTTCGCACACATTTGTTGGAAACAAGTATAATGAAATCATCAAAAAGACGAGATATCTATAGCCTTGATGTCAGATAGTAAAAACAAAACAAAATTTTCCCAAACAATGAAATGGATTTATTGTTGGCATAGAAAGTGGTATTGGATTTGGCTTCTCCAATAATCTCCATCCTCATCCTTGCTTAGCTTTAATAGTAAAAGTCTCACCACATAGGTACATTTCGAGGACCATTTAAGGAATTATAATTCAGACCCAAGAACCGCTTGGCAAATAAACCAAGCAAAGAAATAACCGAGCGAACAAGTTCTACACAACAATATTCAATTTTTAACTGACGAAAAATGTTATATAATCAGATATAATAGAACACAACATCTTGTGATATTCAAAGAAGAAACTCCTTCATACTCCCTCTGCCCCATTTTATTTGTCATACTTACTATTCATTGGTTAAATCTACTCTTTTTTCTTTGTTTATTTTCTTTAGTATTTTTAAATTTGATTTTTTGTGTTTAATAGTATTTTTAGTGTAGTTTCTAAATATATAAATTTTGTATACTAGTACTAAACTTAATATTATGAAAAATTGAATTGAAAATAACTTCAGTCAAGTCTCGTTAACCGAACTAGACACATAAAATGAGATTAAGCTCCTAGTATAAGATTTTTCATTTGATCTCTTTCTGTAAGTTCTGATGGAATGAGAAAAGTAAACTCAAGTGCACCTGGTAGCTCTTCCAATTACTTCACCAGTTTCAAAATCCTTGAGAATCCAATCCCGTCTCGTCCCAATTCTTCCCTCAGTTTGGCACCATGTTTCAATCTCTACCACATCACTCCTGTTCATACCACAGGCAGTACAGTTCATTGCCATGAACCAGAAAGATTTAAAAAAAAAAAAATCATAAATTTATAGAAGCAAATCATTACCAAGCAGGGTATCTATAGATCTCTATATGCATGCGAGCAGTAACCCATATCAGATGCAATTTTCTCATAGTATGCGTAGTTGCAAATCCATCAGCCAAAAATCCAACACTCTGGGCATGGCTGCATCCAACCTCCTACACAACACAATTTCGGTTCGAAAGAACAAATTTAAGTAAGCAAGATGGCAGCGTAGCCAAATTGGTCAAACAATTGACTTGGTAACCACAAAGTTACAAGCTAGACTCCCAGGAGTAGCCTATTGTCCTTCTTAGTTTGAGTCAGTCAACTATAGACAATCTAGGCTAGTTTAGCTCCTTTGCCGGCTAGGCCACTAGGGTCACAAGGGGGCAATCACAACCAATTTGGTCAAAATATTGACTTGGTAACCACAAAGTTACAAGCTTGACTCCTAGATGGAGCGACTTATTAGCCTTCTTAGATTGAGTCGGTCAATTGTGAGCAATATAGACTGGTTTACTTCCTTTGTGGGCGGCTTGGGTCACAAGACGAGTTTACCTTGCCAGCTAGGGTACAAGGTGTAGTTTATCCCATACATATTAATAAGTATTCTTGGATATTCTTGGGTACTGGTTGCGGGGTTTCCTCAGTCAAAACAATTTAGGTAAGCAAACAGACAGCCAAAATCCAATAGATTTTCAAGAAAGATTACATGCATTCCAATGTTCTTGCCTGAAATTCCCCAGATTAAATAACTACCGAAATTCAGTCTAGTAAAAAAACAATCTTTATTCTTTACCTATGAAATCAAAAACGAAATTTACAGAATCAAATGGAGAGATCAGAGCTCTATAGTACCTGCAAGAGATTAGCAATGGTTTCAACAGTCGCAGTTCTGTTAATCCCAACCTCATAACACCGAATAATGAACTTCTCCCTATACGAAAACCCGTCCTCCGCTAAGCTCCCGAGCCGGAGCCGATCCGCCAGGCTCGGCTCGTACGCAACTCGCTGGCTCTTGGGCTCCTCAGTGGCCACAGACAGAGCGGGCCCTGTTCGAGGAGGCGGAGCGCAGGAAACGGCGGCGACACGGCGGCTGCGGCGAATCGGGAGGGCTTGATGATGGTAGTCGCTGTTGGCAGCAACGTTGTATGGCGAGAACGCCACTCGCGACAACATCGTACGGTGGTTACGGAGTTACCGGTAACAGAATCTTTTTCCGGTTTTTGCGTGTCAGTAAATGCCGGCGCCATTGTTGCGGGTTGTGTCTGCGACGTTTATATGTGAGGTTGACCGTAGACTACTCGGGAGGCGCACGTGGCGTATATCACAAACTACTACACATGCATGTGAGTAATTTACTTAAAATTAAATTACTCCCTCCGTCCCATTTTCCATGTCTTACTTTCCTTTTTAGTTTGTCCCAAAATGTTGTCCTCTTTCCAAAATTGAACATCAATATCATTCTACTTTTCCAATTTACCCTTATGACTTTTGCTTTTATTTCCAAAAGTAAGAAAAGTGAAGGGCATAATTGGGAAATGACATAGCATTTACTTTAATTCCTTAAAAAGCGTGCAAAAAGCAAATGAGACAACCATTTCGGGACGGAGGGAGTAGTTAATAAGGGCATCACTGTTAGGAGATCTTTCACAATTTTTTTTTTAAAAATGAATGAGGTGGATGAAAGAGGGTGAAGAGAGAGAAAGTGTGAGTGTTTCCCGCAAAAAATGAGAATTTTGGGAGTGAGTGGATCCCGCCAATGAAGAGGAGAGTTGCGCCTCACGATGCGTGAAGCGCAACTCTTGCACCCGGCACAGAAGTTGGTCCAAAGAGAATCATCACTTGTGAGAATCAAACCTGGGTTATCCCAGAATTCTTCCCCACAAAGAGAGCTCATTTATTACTTGAGCTACCCTGTTTGATTTACTGCATGGTATATTTAATTGTACTGGAGAACGATATATGCTATTTGGGTTAATGGAATACTCCCCACTTATGTCATGTTCACTCAAATTATTTATAAGCATTGCACCATGTTTTTCCTTCATAAATGTCTCTGTCTAAGTGCCTAGTGTCCAAAGACTTGAAATAATGTCTTGGAAAACTTTTAGGCCTCATGCCCCACTTGGATTGAATGATTGCATGTCTACATCTTTGGTTAATTATATATTGAATTGGATAACTAATGATGCAGGCATTTATTAATCTCTAATTAATTTACTCTAAACTTTAAAAGTACACTGCAAATTATTACCTCTAGAATATAAATCAGTCTTGTAGCTTTTGCTATATAAGTGAACAATACATCTGTGGCTTGTTCAGAACTGTTCTAATATGGAATAGCTCTTTTATATGCTCTACATATCTAGTAGTCACAATAAATTAGTTACAGTATGGGAAAAAAGAGCTTGCCAAAAGTGTGTGCAGGCCAGAAAATGTGAGAGCAAATGAAAAGAATTTGCCTTTAAACCATCTGGGGCGAGGGAATTTCGTCTTTTGTGGGCAAGAACATCCATCTGGGAGATGAATTTGCTGCATTTTGACGTGGCCTGCTGGGTACCACCTCGAGAGGGGGGGGGGGGGGGTGTTTTGTTTCTTCATGGTGGAAGAAACCGTGGGATTGAAATAGTTGTTGCAGCTAGAGCTTAGAACATCCATCTTGGAGATGAATTTCCTGTGCTTTGACGTGGCCTGCTGGGTACCACCTCGGGTGGGGGTGGGGTGTTTCGTTTCTTCATGATGGAAGAAACTGTGGGGCTGAAATAGTCGTTGCTCCTCTGCGAAGTTGCCCCTTGAGAGTAGACCTTTCTACCCTGCATGAAGTTTCTATGCTTCTCTGGTGTTGTTGTCCTGTGTGCAGCTGAACTTCTTTGTACAGCTCCCCATCTGTTGTAATTCATGCAGCTTTGGCTCCTCCCTACCTGCTGGAATTTCCCGTGTCTAGGGCTTGGAATGTTTCGGCTTTCTGCAGTTTCTGCGGAGTACATGGTAGTCTCTCCCTCGCTACTGTAATCATGTTGCATCTCTGATGCCTCGACAGGGGATGAACTTTGGACCTCGCTTTGAGCCCCATTTATGGAGCCAGTTGAGGCAACCTCAGCATCTGCTACAGGGTCGATTTCCGGGCCATCACTAAAATTTTCTTGTTTTCTCAGCACTTGGTGAGAGGGAGGCTGATCTACACAATTTTCATCATGGTTTGAAGGCATTTTTCTTGCAGATTGCGGGGAGGCAGCAGTTTTGGCATTCCTCGGTGGGAAGTTAATATCCAACAGCTGGATTTGAGCGCTCTCCTTCCTCCTGACGGCTATTGAAGTTACCTTTGGCGACTCGTAGATTTCAGGAGTTGGAATTCCCTGCACATGTGTAGTAGCGCGTTGATCTGTAGTCAGTGTTTCGTCTTCCAGATTATTAACAATGGTGGAGCAGCTCGGCCCCGGCTGCTCTCTAGGTTTCAACACTGTGTTCGAGGATGTTGGAGTTCCCTCGTTCTCGCCTTCAGTAGACTTGAAAACTCGCCTCAAGGTGAAGGAAGCACAAGAATGCTCGCTCTTTTGGCCACCGGACATCAATCGCATTAGTGGCAACTTGGGTTTGTTGAGTTCGTCGAGGTTTCCCTCCCAGTGCTGGTTTAACCAGTCACATATAACCGGGATTGGTATACCAAATTGCATAGGACTATCCTTCTTCCACGATGACGATGAAGATGGTGAAGTCGTAGATGACTTTGAGTTCGGAGACGTGGCGAGCTTCATAGGATCACATACCATGAACGCGAGATTTCCATGAACATCAAAACCCGCAGACCCAGGGCTCCATGCTACTCCATCTGTACACAGCTTTATAAGATTGTCGGTGGCGATCACAACCTTCCCTTCACCAACTGTCAGCTCCTTTTTCTCGCTGTACCCTAATAGGTAAACTACACTACCTAGCTCAAGATTTGGTTTCGAACAGGTTTTCAGAAAATGAGGATGCTGAACCTGCCCATTCGTGTCTCCATCCATGGCATCAAGGCCCACGATACTCAGATCAAGTATCGAGCTAGTAATAAAGAATCTGCAAACAAATAGAGCGGCAAAATTATGTGAGTGCACACACAATGCAGTTAAAAGTCTTAGTGAAAACAAGATCAGGGAAAACAAATAGCGGGAAGTTTCAAGAAGCATTGGCCACAGAATGTCAGAAACTCGCAAAGTCGATTTAGTAGAGTAGAAGTATATGTGAGCTTTTGGCATGTCTAACCTCCAGTAGTATTGTGAATCCGTGGCTATTCACCTCATACAGGGCTTCAGAAAGAGGGAGCAAGTATTATTATGGTATCTATTTGAAATGAACGTCGGTGGCAATTCTGGGAAATAGAATATGAATGGAGACACTAAAACTGAATGCCAAATACGTTTAAAAACGAAAGCAGACACTAATTTCATGATTTTCGTATACAACTTAGGCTTCACACAACAGTTCCCAGTAAATCTTTTCGAGAACGAAGCATTTATATCTAGTTAGACTAATAAACGTTCTCATGCCAACCTCAGATTAGGAAAAATCAGACACACTTGTAATAATTCTCACATGCTTTTATTGACAAGGAAACAAAACTTTAGGCAAGGCCCCAGAGCATCAACCAATTCCACATTATAGTTTCTCCATGGTTAGATGGCTCGCAATTTGCAGTAACTTTCATACTCTCAAGTCTCAACCTAATAGTAACAATTAACAAGTGAAGCATTTATAGCTCTCTTCCTTGACCTCCATCGTCAAGTGTACACGTGGCGATGCACGTACTATTATCCTTTTCCATCGCTTCAAATCAGACCCGATAGAGAGCAAATCCCGAACTAAGATACCCACCTTAAACCACCCCAGTTTCTTTAACCCATTTCTCGTCATCAATAACAGCAATTATCAATCATATATTCATATCAACCTCCTCCATAACACAGCAAAGCCATTCAACAGCAATTTTTGCCATACATACCATATACCTCACATGCTTCAATTTTTGCACAGTTACATCCACAGCATCATAAATTGTTCCAACTTCCAAACTTCTTGTTTAATGTCTATTTAAGACAAAACTAACAAAAAAAGAAAAGGTGAACCGAGGCTCATAGAAGTCAACTTGTTTAATAATTGGATGCTTATCTTTTCATGCTACAGAAACACAGAAAAGGTATTCAATGGGCATATAGACATGATCTCCATGCCACTTTACCAAATCAGGACAATATCACAGGCAGAGAATATGATTTCAAATTTCAAAATCCTAAAACAATAATAAGAAATTCAGGGAGCAGTCTATTCGCCTTCTCAATCTGAGCCGGTCAGCTATGGGCAACCTAGCGTGTAGCCCGCAAAGTTCACAAGATTGGGTTTACGAGTGCACACCCTCGGTTAGTGACTCAAAATTCATTCATAGTAGTTGACAATTATGGAGTATCTTAAAATACTGTAGAAACAAATAGATTTGGCCTTGACCACTACATTCTTACCACAAATACATTGACAACTATTCAACTGACGAAACAAGTAGTCAAAAAATCGAATAGAAATATAAACATTAAATTGCTTAGCAAAAGAAGAAAGTAAGGCGCATTGAATTTCTACCCCAACATAATGCCTGAATGCAAAATGAGCTAACCTGTGAGGGAACAGGCACGCAGCGGCGCCGTTTTGGATGCGGATCTCGGCGGCCTCGGCTGCGGCGGCGGAAGGGAGGTTGACGTGAGTGGTGAGGAGAAGATTGCGGTGGATCAAGAAGGCAGTGCCGCCACCGTTGCCGGCGGCGATTACCGCCATTGCCGGACCTTTGCTCGAGAAAATGGAAGCCTTCATTCTCTCGGACTTGCCTCCGCCATTACAGAAACACCATGAATCTCGCAAAACCCCCATTTCCCAGGAGCTGCTCTAAATCCTTTTCCTGAATTTAAACTAAACAACAACAACAACAACAACAACAAAAATAGTTCCGGGAATTTTAGATCCAGAATATCAGCTGGAAATGCATTCTTTCTAGTGCAGCTCAGTTTCCTCCGAGCTCTTCCTGGACAGTGTATAATTGCTCTCAGCGACAGATAGAGACGTAGAGAGAGCAAAAACAGGAGAGAGAACGAAGAAGACGACTTCTCTACTGCCGCAGATAAATGAAGAGATTGTTGTATAAAAACCTCCTGAAAATACGAAGAAAAAAACAATTTTTTATTCGATCTAACAGGGAGGTTGTATAAATGTTTTGATTTGATTGACCACTGCATATATACACATTGTCAATTTGACATAATTTAAGGACATATTACTATCACCCAACACATCATATTAACAATTATTATTATTATACTAGTTTTTTCTATCTATTTGCGCGAAAATTTGTGCCCAATATTTAAACTCGATTAGTAAATCATTTTGAAATATGTAAAATGCATTTGTAAAATTATTTTTTTTGATTGACGAAATTGCATAAATATTCATGTAACGTTTATTTTGTTGATGTATTTGAAATTAACACAAGCAATACAAATTCATTGTGACGAATGTATACAACTGTAATTTTAAGTAATGGTATGCAACATAATATTACAACTATTTTCTCCTTGTGCTATTTAGTTAATAAGTATCTTCCATTGTTTCAAATATCACTTAAAAGTATGTTGCTTACTGGCCGTATAAGATTTCAAAATGAAAGTGACAAATGTTGTAACTATTAGAGAGTGTAATTTATAGGTTTTGTTATTTGCTGAATTGAACATCTAAAAGTTAGTTATAGTTGTTTTTCTTCTCACATGTAAAATGACATATGTTATGAAGGAAGCACATTGATGTAAAAGCAATTGCAAATGAATAAAATTAGTTTAAATGTATTTTTCTTCTCGTGAGAGATATATCCCTTCCAAATTCATATTTTCGTAGTCAAATCCATAGTATGTGATAAATTTAGCATTTATATTAAAAAATTCAATTTTTTTTTTCATTTGTATTTGTATTTTTCATGTTGATTTGTGTCTCCGTGTACTGGTCAGTGCGTGTGTTTTCTTTTCTTTTTTCCCCTATCCAAACCTGAATAAAGTTATGTATTAACTTACTATTAGCAAACATTTAAGAACATATGCGCTATAAAAATTACATTTAAAAATTAAATGACCAGTCTTTGCCATTTCTAAATCTAGTGGTCAAAGTTATAACATCTTTTTTAGGTTTCATAAGTATAAATACTTCATTGTAAATATTACATCGCTTAGAAGAATATATATACATGAGGCAATTATGTAGATTACATTAGGAGTAAAAATTTAAAAAAGAGAAGAGGAATGTAAAATAAAAAAGTTTAAACAACTGAATAGTTAAAAATATATAACATGAGTGTTGAGAAAATAATTTATTTAAGGAACCAAAGGCGAAAGGTTCTCTCATTTAGGCAAAAAATAAATTAACCTTTAATTCTATGGTCTAACTGGAGTTTGTGGATGTTTATTATTTTTTATAGCAACTTAATAAGTGGTCACTATTTCACTTTTAAAATTTAAATTTTAGTGGTATTTTTAACTTTATAAAATATGATTTTCCATCTTCAAATTCTTTAAAACTATAAAATAATGTTTTTAAATAAGTTTTAATACCTTATAAGTTCTTTGCTTCAAAAAATAATAATAATAATAATAATAATAATACCTTATAAGTTCTTGCACTTTTGTCTTGAGTACAACAACTTCATGCATTATGTGGCTACTTATTTGATATCTGAGATACAAAGGTTATTGAAACGGAATGAATTTGTAAATAACAATATAAAGAATAAAATAAACTAAAACTAAAAGTAAACAAGACATGATAGTAGTGAATTAAGTGAATATACTTTTAGCAATTTTAATTTTTTAATTCAAACATATTGAATAAAGACATAAACAACAGATTGCTTAGAAATAAGTAGGGTTATGCTACACTTTGTTTGCTATTGTTAGCTATCTAAACTCATCCTACAATACCTTAATCTATAATCATTTGTTATCAAAATCCATGATTGTAGTTATCTAAGTACAAAAATCATACATATGCACATTCTCTCATTCCTACTCAAATTAATACATTTGCAAAAACTATGAAGTATGTATCCAGAATTCAAAGATGTGCTTGGATCCAACTTTGTTGATTGACCATTTTAAAGAATGTTTATAGTCTAATTCACTACTAAACAGAATATCACACCACATGTTTGTAATTAATGTGATGAATTTTGTTTTGTTTTTTTTTTTTTTTTTTTTCATTTTTAGGATTTCATTATCTAAACTATATCTCATCACTTCATCAGTCCAAAAACAGGAAGTAAAAGATATTAAGCAGTATATACTTTTCAGTGCACGGTTCAACAACCGAAACAAACTCGAGGATGGAAGCAACTTTTTTGTACACATCAGGGGATGGTGTCTTCAAGATATCAATGAGGCGAGTAAGAACCGCAGAATCTAGAACATCAACCGCGTTGGTAGTTTTCAAGCTACAAGAACACGAATCAAAGGGTTAACATATGCAGATAGCCAGACATATATATTACATGCCAATGAAACAATTATGAAAATCAACGAGTTGGTATATACAGATAAACATTAAAAAACCTTGTAATTGATATAGCTTTCTCATTCTCCTTTCCTCCAGGTCCCGTGTTTCTTATTTCCTCCCATCCCTTCTCCGAAAAGTTGGTTGGTCCCTCGAAAAACTAAACACCGATAAAAATAGGGTCATTAATTAAATAAGCTGTACCAAAAACCCCCAAGTCTACTGAGAAATTGTGACAACCCAAAATTTAATTTTATAAATTCGATTTTAAGGAATTCCAAAATAGCCATTTTCACTCTATTAATTTTTTAAAGATAAATTTGGTGTTTGAATAAATTATTTTGAGTTACATTTTAAATGAATTCAACACCGGAACTTATTTTAATTCAAAAATCCTAAATTTTCGGGTACTTCGCGTACCAAGTTTTAAACTGAGAATTTAATCTGAGTGAAACCGGGAGAAATCTGAGAAGCCTAAATCATGTGCCTAACTAGAAATCATTATAGAGAAATTCAATTCCAACCTCAAACTATTCTAAATCCTGATTTTTGGACCATGGTCCATGTAGCATGGTGAACCACATCCCTCCAAGCTTGTCTGTGCATGTTTTGCATCCAAACAATTCCACCTTTGCCCTCCACCAATCATTGGTGTTTCTCCTAGGGTTTAGAGCCCTATAAAATGAATAGTTTTCAGACTTTGCCTCTTGATTCTCTTCCTTGTCTTCCCCAAACAAAAGCTTTGCAAAAAATACAGTAAGTTTCCCTTCCTTCATTCATCAGCTTCCTTCCATTTCTTAGCTTTCATCTCTGAGATTCTAGTCCTTAAGGTTGTTGTGTGATTTGTTTGAGATGTCTAGGAGGTGAAGGAGGTAGTGGCTGACTTGGGAAGAAGGAGGAATCCCAACAAGAAGAGGAAACAACAAAGGTATAACCCCATGGACTACCAACTTAGTTTTGGCTTTGTGAAGCCACTATTTTATATGTAGAAATTAGTAGAAATGTTAGAATATTATGTGTTTGAGCTATTAGATGACTTATTCATGTTGTATGATGTATTGTTGATGTTTTGGAAGTGGAAAATTGCCTGGTTTTGCATTACAGGTGACGAATGAGCCACTGGTGCACCTCTCAGTGTGCACCAGTAGAAGTCACGGACCTAGCCAACGGCCCACGAGGGGAGCCGTTGGCTAGAGCCGTGGCTAGACGGCTCTAGGCGGCGGGACTTTCCTAGCCCCGCCGCTAGGACCGTTGATGGCTACCTGTGCAGTGGCCGGGCCCTTGTGGCTCAGCTACGTGTCATTTCAGATCGGGTATCACGTGTCATTTCGGACCGGGTATCACGGGCCCTTGTGTCTCGATACCTTGGGGTCGTCATGACGCACGTTTGGCTTTTGATTTTGTTAAATTTGGATTAGAAATGAGCATGTTATGATAGAAATTGTGATGAAATGATTTACAGTAAATGTTGTTGTGAGTTCATCAGACTTGCACTGCTTATGTGATTTGCTTGTTATTATCTTCTTGATGCTATTTGAGTATTGAATACTGAATAGAGAAGCATGAACATTTTATGAATGAGAGTTGTTAGAGAAGCATGACTAGAATGTGTTTTATGTTCAATGGAAATTGTAGTCTGTTTTGATGGTAGAAATGTACAGAGTATGCTATTTTTCAATCCAATCATGATTGTGTGTTCTTTGAGAGTTCACGGTGATATATAGCATTGAAGCATGTTGTACAGTAATTTACATTCGTAGCATATCATGTTTTATAAGTGCATAAAGGGCCAACGTGAGCCTACGTATTATTTTCCAAAATTCATGAGCACGTGGTATGTCATTACCTTGTTGCATTGAGAAGTTGTTGAGTTGTGACATGCATAAATTTGGTGCATGAGATATATATATATATATATATATATATATATATATATATATATATATATATATATATATATATATATATATATTATCTATCCATATAAGTGAGGTTTTGGAGGACCCGTTGGGACTATGTCCTTTCGGATGATGTTGACCGGATATTGCGATCCGATGTGTTGTAACGCGGTGTATTCCCACGTTACGAGGTTGGAAACTGCCCACCAGGTTTGAAATCCTGGTCAGGGGGTATGCACGCTGAAAGTTCGATACCTGATTCCACAGAGTTGTGTTTAGAACCAAGAGAGTGGTTCGGTGGATGAGATTGAGCATAGGTCGGCTAGAGGCCGTACCGGGATAGGTTCGTTCACGCTATGGTGAAGTTCGTACCTCATCTATTTGTAAAGAAAGCGAGTTATTGCGACTCTAAGAAAGCGAGTCATTGCGACTCTAAAAAATGAAAGTAAGCGAGTCTTTGTGGCTCTAAGAGACCTCCATAGAAAAGTACTCTATTTTACAACGAGAGTATATGTATGCTTATAGCATTTAATTGCATTTGAGAATAGTGTTGCACGAGATTGCATAATGAGAATATTTGCACTAGATTGCATATCGAGAATGATTACCCGAGATTGTATATTGAGTATGATGGCCTTAGTTGCATATTGAAGTTGATATCTCTTAATTGAATGTTGAGAACTTGATTGCATGAGATTGTTATGGAGTTATTCTATAGAGTTGAGTTTTACTATGTTGATTATGTGTCAGTATGATTATGTTGTTAAGTTGTTTGTTGATGAAGCATGTCTGTTGATATCATAGGTTGTGAGCATATAGAAAGCTTGTGATTTATCTTAAAGTTTGTCTAAATAATTGAATTGCTTAATTTGAGAATGTGGACAAATGTTTTTCCAAAGTATATACTGTAGTATTTTACAGGGTTGAGTGTGGTTATACTTAGCTTCGTGGTAACGGGTGTTTTCTACTTGTCTACTTGTTGTTTTGCAAAATCCCTTTCAGGTGGGCCCAACGTTTGAGAGTTATTCAAGTTAGACTAGTGTAGTTGATCTAGTAGTCTAAACTCTTGTTTTATTTTATGATGTTATGGATTATGGTTGTAGACTTTTGTTTTTACGTTTGGTGATAGACACCGGGATACTTTTCCCCAAGTTACCTTAATTTAGTAATTTCGAATGTTAGTTTGACTTGATGATTTAGTTCTATCCTTAGCCTGTGCAATCACCATGAGAAGGTGGTTGTGGCGCTGACATTCCCACTAGTTTGTTAATTAAGTTTGATTTTTCGCTGCTTGGTTTATCTTAAATTGGTTTTAGAACTGTAATTAAGTTTAAGAAATGTGGGGTCTTACAGAAATAGCAACAAACCTTCGATTTCATTTCTTTGCTAGGATCTAGAATTCGAGTAAGAATATACAGAATCTGCAGGCAAGGCATATTGTTTCGTTTTCCAGCAGTATAGAATAATTATGACTCGTGAATTTCAAAAAAGTTTTGGTAGAAAGAATATAAAATATTGTAACATTATTTTTATAATGTTGCTAGAAATCTCTAAGTAATTCACTAAATTAATCAAAGAATGCAAAACATTTTCCTCCATTGAATCCCTTGGATTGCTTGAATTCTTTAACGGATTCTCTATTTCGGATTGCATCAATCCTTTACCGGAATCTCTGCTTCGGATTGCTTCAATCCCTTACCGAAATCTCTAAATAGGGTATCTTGTTTTAATGTTTGGCGGTTCTTAGGGAGAGAATGAAGGAAGTCAATGATTTATTGTGGCTCAACAGCTTTTTACGCTAGAAATATGAACGGAAGGAGCGGAAGAAAATCTAGGAAAGACGGAGAGGATTAAAATTAATGGAGGAAAAATGATAATGGCCTAATATTATATTTAACGACAGTTAAGTACATTTAATAGTAACAGATATGTTTGAGCATTTTTGGCAATAAAAATATAATGTACAATATTAATAAGATAATGTACAAGACAACCAACAATTAAAAAATAGACAAAAATCAGTGGTATAACCATCATTGAAACTTATTATGTTTTTAAATTATTATTATTACTAGTTTTTTACGCGCATTGCGCGATTGGGATAATGCCCAATGTTTTGTTTTTTTTTTTAAATAAGTACTTTAAAGTATATTAAGGCAAGATTATATTTAAATTGTTCATGCATAGATAATTGAAGGTTGAATTTGCGTATTTAAATAGGTAATTCTTCTCCCTGAGTCCCCTACCCCAAGGGCCCCCCACACTCTGACCCGTGCGTATTTAAATAGGTAATTCTTCTCCCTGAGTCCCTTACCCCAAGGGCCCCCCACACTCTAACCCGACAGAGCATTGTAGGAAGTTGTAAATCACGGTGACTCAATGGTTCAGCAGACAAGACCAAATGCCGGTGCGAACAAGGAATCTGCCCACTTTGGACATAATTCCCGCACTGTCGTCGCCGAGGTTCAAACCTTGGTCTCTTCTCCCAAATACTGCCCACTAAACCATTGAGCTAAGCCCGTGCGGGTTAAATAGGTAATTCTAAGTTTACAAATGCAAGATAATATAGTCAAGGTTGATTATAATTGTCAATAAAATAATTGTATAGGTATGGTTGAAACCAAATACGGGACATAAGGGAGAACAAATAAAAATTTGGGCATAAAATATTAAATATATACTAATATTGTTTGAGGAGATTTCGACATTAGGATTTGTGGTTAAGTTCTATTAAGACTTTAATATTAGAATTAGATTAATGGTGTAATTATAATTCTATATTAGACGTTAATATTAGAATTAGACTAACGGTGAATTAACGGTATTTAACGAAAAAGTTAAATGGATAATCATATAATTAAGGATAAATTAGAAAATTGTTTTAAAAAAATTAAAACCTGAACAATTTGAACCATTCATTTGATTTAATAATTTGACGGTCATTTTTTCTACCCAATGTTAATAATTAAATAAATTCGCTAACTGCTAATTGTCAAACAAGGACATTGCATGGTAGTTCTCACTTCAAATTGTTGTGTGATTTGAATACTCTCTTTGTCACAAAATCTCTCAAAGTAGTTAATATGGTTGGCTTTATTAATTATATATTTTTTAAATTTTTTCATGGTATTAATAAAATACTTGGTAAATAAATATATAGCATTATTTTGTATTATAACTTTGATATTTAATTAGAAAAATAGTGCACAAAAAAGATAATAGACAATGTAGTGAATATAATCAATTGATGAATTTGAATGTAAAAATTTTTACATTTGAGAAAAATAAAGACAATATAACTAATGAAAATATTTCTCTTAATTAATTTATTGATAATGAATAATTTTTTTTTCACTGAATTAAGACATTGTAAGAACAATGTAGCGAATATAATCAATTAATAAATTTGAATATAAAGAATTTTTATATTGTAGAAAAATAAAGATAATATAACTAATACAATTATTTCTCTTATTTAATTTATTGATAATGAATAATTTTTTTTTGAATAAAGGCATTGTGGACACATAATTCTAAATTAAAGAAATGCATATCTATAATTTTTTGTTGTAGCTACTAAATTACTATTTATATATAATTTAATAAGAGTAAAATAGAGTACTAATTATGACAACTTTGATTGGGATGAGGTTCGAACCTAAGACCTTTTTTTTTTTTTTTTTTTTTTTTTTTTAAATCAATGAGTAAGTTAACGGTGAACTAACGGCAATTCTTAAAATTTTAACGGAATTAGTAACGGTGTGTGGGTATTTTAGGAATTTTTTGTGTAAAATTTAAATCTTATCAATCTTTTAATCAATCTGAGCCATTCATTTGATTAAAATCTGTGACCGTCATTTTTTCTACCCATTATAGGCCTAACTCTCTTGGGCTCTTATTAGTATAGTAGATTATTATAGAATTTCGGTGCTTATTAACATAGTGCCATTGGTTACTAACAACCCTTATTTCACAATATGTAGTGTAATCAAGTCTATTGTTTAAAGAATTAAAGTTGTATCTCATACCCACTTTTGTATATAATTGGGCCTCATTTTGATAGATGGTACAAGTTAGTTGAAAATCTTGCAAATTATTAAGATCTTATTTGAATTTAAGAAGAACAAAATTATTGTAGGGGTGAAAGTCACACAAATTGTGCACCCCTTATAAGGGTGCATATAGATTTAGTTACAATTGATTGATACAATGTAAATTAACTCTTACACATTTGCGGAATGATTGACCAAGGTCCAAGAATATAAACTAAATAACATAACTTTCAAGATTGAATATTTAAAAATGCTTCTATATATATGTTGGATTGTTGGGATAAGGTAAAAGATGTTATATCCAAAATTTATGATAGAAGAACAACAAGGTTCAAAGATGATCTAGCGAGTGGACCTAATGGGCATAGTTCTCGTTTGGCCTAGGCTTGATATGGGGCATGTGAAAATTGGGTATGTATACCCTGATGGCACTTGACATCCATTCATGTGAGGTAGGGCATACAATGACGCGATAAGTACAATTAGATGTTGTATATTCTAAATGACGATATTTAGAGGGAAGTGCAATAAAAGGTGTAACTTGGAAGAGGGAGATATAATGAATCTAGGCCATGCTCGTACAAATTGGCCATGGTAACTAGTTAGGTTACAACAACGCTTCTACTAAGGCTCGATCTCACGACCTCCCACATGAAAGAGGTCACTACATGTCATCTGAACACAAAGTGCTTGTCATTATTTTTTTTTTGTTTGTTTTTTTTTTTTGTCAAGATTTTTAACAAACTAAGAGATAATGAAAAAAACAAAACAAAACAAAAACAAAATTGACAAAAAGAAAAAATAATAAAAATCAAATCTTCTTTACGCGACCAACTAGTGCACGAGACGCGCACCAAGGAGGTTTTTTTTTTTTTTTTTTTTTTTAATGATATCAAAAAAAAAAAAAAAATCTCACTCAAATTAATTTTATTCTATCTCCTCTCTTATCTTCCCTCCACCTCACTTTATCTTTCCTCCAAGCAAATTAAAATAATAAAAAAAACTCTCAATAAAATGCTTGATGAGGATGCTCTTATAATTCTCGTTAATCATATCGTTTTCTTATCATGGTAACTCCAAGTATACCAACAAACAAAATCATTGCTTTGGGTTGCAAGTGAATGTTTCCATGTGCTCATATAACTCTCACACAAGTGAATTCAATCTTTGTCTCTTTCATAAAGGCTTTACATTTATATTGCGCGAAACTTTAATTAATTATAGTGCTATCAAATAGTGGTCACCAGGCACTAATAATCACATACTTTTTGTATTATAAGTATCTTACTTTTTTATTTTGTATTGTGTACTCATGTTAATTACAACCTACAACCAATAACTAATCAGTTAATAGGATAATAAAAGTCAAATTAATCAATATATGTAATTGTTCTCCACGTATACAACGACGTTGGGTTACAAATTTTCAAGCGGTACTTGATTCAATGTGAATGACCTTAGTCATTGACTATTATATGCATTTGGAAATTAAATGATGAGGTAAATAACATAATTCGTCTCAATTGGTCTACTTGCAAAATACTTGTACACTAATAACCACAAAAATAATTCATTTTGGTCATGGGTAGGATTACCCTTGCATTATATTTCAAAGCAAATTATATGTACCGCAATCACAATGTGCTTTGTTTGACGATTATTTGGATTTTTGTAATTTGGCTACAACATATACCTTGTACAACCACCAATTAAATCAAAATTTATAAAGAAACTACTATCTTGACTCTTATTATCATACTCATCACTTTTACTTGTACTCAGATTCTTGATATAAGCACTATTTGTTGGAGTGTACATGATGCAAATAACTTATTATTGCTTGCTACATACCTACATTAGAAAGTAAAAGTAAGTGGAAATGGGACTGGGAGTACATGTATTAAAAATTTAAAACTGATACGGAATATGTTCTGTAGAAGTGCTATTGCCTTGTGGTACGACGGCGATGCCAAGTGTATCATATCAGAATTGGTTTGTGTCAACTGTACTTCCTGAATGGATAACCCAAATTATTACACATTGTATCACATTTGTCACTCGACCCAAAACTTACATACAATTCATGATTCACTATGACCAGAAACTTGACTAAGCTGATCAGTTTGCGAACTCCGCCTGTGCATGAACAAACTCTACATTCGCCAACAGAACGACATGCACGGTCACATCGTGAGGTCAACCTCTCCAAGACAGGCACACCCACCATATTAGTCGAACCCATGCCATCCACATGTAAAGCATGCCAGATTCTCGGCATGTGTCCCCTCCACTTGCCTATTTACGGCACATTAATTACCATAAAAAGGTGAGAGACAATTGACCGAAATAGACGCTCCCGTGCTGACTAATTCATTTCTTGACTACCTAATCCAGTATGTTCGAGAGTATTGTGAAAGCCTCCGCACGGTATACTCAACGTATATTTACATTATTAAGAACTAATTTTAGTTTTCATTAAAAAAAAAAAGGAACTAATTTTAAAAAAAATACTAATACCATTATGTGTCCATGAGAGATTGGGAGTTACCTATTAACTTTTATAATTTAAATTCATCAAATTATTTACCGACTAAAATCATATGAGAAGTTTCACTCAAAACTTCATTTAAATTAACAGTTGGGCTTTCGTAAATTAAAAAGAACTTATTTTGTTAATCCAAAAAAACAAAACAAAACAAAACAAAAAAAAACAAGAAGGGGTTGATCACTTGACCCGTCGGACCTCTCAAATTCAAGCTTCACCTGTAAGTCTGTAACCGGATTCTTCAATTTCAAGCACTCAAGGTCCCAAATTCGCAATGTTTCCGATCATAATTCTCTAATCGCCTTGAGAGATCGCATATATGATATATATGCGCGTATATATATAGACGCCTACTGTTATTTCTCTCTCTAAAAGTGCGCGCAGAGACATTCCATTCCAGATGGGGAGCAGCGGCGGCGGCAGCGATGTGGAAGCGGGGTTCGCGAAGCTTCAGGGCGAGGATTTTGAGTACTACATGCAGACATACTCCATAATCCTTGGCCGTACCTCGAAGAAGTCGACGGTGGATGTTGACCTCTCCTCCCTCGGCGGCGGGATGAACATCTCCCGCCACCACGCCCGTATCTTCTACGACTTCCAGCGCCGTCGATTCGCCCTCGAGGTTCTCGGTAAGAACGGCTGCTTCGTCGAGGGGGTACTTCACCTCCCTGGTAACCCTCCCGTCAAGCTCGACTCTCAGGACCTCCTCCAGATTGGGGACAAGGAGTTCTACTTTCTCCTCCCGATTCGGAGCATCCTCGGTGGCCCTATCGGGCCCAGACACCACGTAAATGTTAATTATCCGGCGGCGGCAGCGGCAGCGGCGGCGGCTTCAGGGATGGTGTCGCATCACCATCACCAGCACTTGCCTCCCCCTTCGGTAAATGCCTACGGCGGTGCGGTTGGAAAGAAGGGATTGCTGAGAGGGAAGGAGTATTATGAAGATGACTATGAGGATGATGGGGGAGAAGAGGGCTCCGAAGCTAAAAAACTGAGGAGGGGTGATGGCTTTGATGGTAGCGGCTATGGCTATGGATCAAGCGGCTCTGGAGGGAAGGTTGCAATAGGTGAGGCATTACATCCCAAATATATGTAGCATATCAAACATATCACGAAAGCTCATTCATTTATTCTGTTAGTTTAACTGTGTTTGTTGTTATTGGCTTGTTAAACTTGGTTCTTTCCTGTCTTGTTACCATGGCTACAAAATGCTTACTTATATTTGCTTGCTGTTTCTGTTCACCAGTCATTGTTTGATGCCTGCTATATGTGAAGCTATAAAGGAACTATCTTTGCATCTATTCTTTGGTGTGAATTATAGTCTCATACCAATTAGGTCTTCCAAGTTCTATTGCATCCATCCCTTTAGCCTTTGCTGGCATCTTCTTGTGTTAACTCCATGTGTTATAACATAGTCACATTTGATTTATTTTTTTTTAAATTACTTCTTCTTTAGCACTTTCATGCATATCATATACGAGTGTCTTTTACAGTCCATCTCAATGATGTTTGGATCATGTCCTTGTAGTAAGATAGTGAAACTCAGCATATTGTCAACTATTCTTTGACAAAAGTAATGAGGTTTTGATGGTTTTGGCACAGCTAATGAAAGTGATAACCTCCAATTCACCACTTAATGTAGTATCTTCTTTCTCTGGCTCTTAAAAGTTAGAATGCCTCATGACTCTTGAGTAAGACAAAATACTTGCATTGCTGAATTGCATTCATTCTCTCTTATTTACAACTTTTAAAAATCAGTGGTTATGGGCGAGTGCCTCAAATTTTACTTATCATTGTTCAATGGTCTCATTTGCATCATACTACATTTTTTCCTTAGCCAAGTGAGTTTCTTATAACTTCCTAAATTTCTTGGGTCAACAATATAGTTCATCATTTCTATGTTGGCTCCCTTGAGGTTTAAGAGCCTGTCCCCAGTGTGTTGCTCTTTGAAATGCGAGCATTCCCTTCAAAATCATTGGCTGTTTTTCTGGTGCATTGGCATTGTTACTTTAATTGCTATCGAGACCATTTTGGGGATAAATGTCACCAAGGATACTTTTGCTTCAATGGAACTTTATATTTAGCTGTTAACCTTCTTTTATCCTCAACTTTGTGCAGATAAGAAGGTAGATGGAAGATCACGCATTGACAGAGATGCTGACAATCAACAGCTCCTGCAACTAGAAGAGAAGGATGTCGTGTCTTCTGTAGCGAATGTGCTTTCTGATCTCTGTGGTCCAGGAGAATGGATGGCAATGGAAAAGCTTCATGCTGAGGTTTGATATCTAACTTTGTGGTATGCTGTATGATAAACTAACCAAAAGGAAAAGAAGGGAATCGTACTAATTTAGTTACACATTACCTTTTTGTAACCTGGCATTTGGCCTTGTCAATAATAAATGGAATGAGAGCATGTTTAGGGAAAAAAATGACAACATTTTAAAAAGTTTCTTTAGAACACTTCTGTTTGTTTTTACCATTAACCACTGAAGCATAGTTTTAAGAAGTAGGAAGCAATAGAAGTTTTTTTCAAGGATTTATTTTTGTCAGAAAAGTAGTAACCATTTTGTACAATACTTTGGATTTGCCCTTCTTCTCTTCATTTCAGATATTTAGGTGCCTAATTTATTCGTCCCTTTACGGTGCAATGGTGCAGATCTCCTTTCTGTGCTCTTATGGTTCCTGATTCATGTATTCTCTCTCTTCCCTGCATTGATGTGTGCTTGTTTAATTTTATAGTGGCTGAAAGGCTTCAGCCAAACAAATAATTGTTGTCTTGATGTATTTTTTTTCTCTTTTTTCTCTAGAAGAGTGATATTTGGGGGAGGTGTAGAGCTTATTTTAAAAACATTAGAGCATTTCCAGTAGTATTTAGAACCTGCTAACTTTCACATGCAATCTCACAAGAACCAACAGCTTCGGAGCTTCCTAATGCTTGTCAATTGTAAAAACGATCTAATTCATCTCACTGCTTTTTGTCCGACAGTTGGTGGAACACTTTGGCAATAGGTGGCATCACAGCCGCGTGAGGAGATATCTCACCTCTGAAGACTATCCTACCCCTGAAGCCAACACGAAACCATGGTATGGATTGCTGATGCTGTTGAGGAAATACCCGGAGCATTTTGTCATCAACACAAGGTCCAAGGGACGCGTGGCGTTGGAATTTGTTTCCCTTGTCTCACTGCTTTCTTGAAAGATTGTAAAATTTTAGTGTTGTCCAACTATGATTTAAGACTACTTTGCTAGAAATGGTCATGCTGTTCAGAATTACAGTAAAATGTGAATGGCCTATTATTGTTTCTGTTAACTTGTATCCAAGAAATAGTTTTGCTGGCATTTCAACTTTTTGGGTCTTGCTTTCTTGTCAATTCTGTGATGACCTGGCCTAGCAATTTTGTAGAAGATACAAGACACTAGACAAAGTAAAATAAGAGAAGAGAGAGAAATCATAAATGTTCATTGCTTGGAAATTCTGCCACAACCCCCAACAGAGCTATTACAAGAGTTTTTGTAGTTTGTTACACTTGCAAATTACATAATTACATTTAGTAGCTTCATATCCTTTTAGAGCTAACTCTAGTTGGTAAGACTAATTCAAATTTGGTCCAAGTTACATCCTGTAGATCCTTTAAACTTTGCAGTTAGGTTATTTTCCCATCGATCCTCCAACCTTTGCAGTTAGGTTACATTCTCATTGTCCGCATAGACTTAGTTCATTGGTTCAGTCGACAGTATTTGAGAGAAGAGACCAATGTTCGAACCGGCAATGGCAGTGTAGGATTATACCCAAAGTAAACAGATCCCTTGTACGCACCGCACCACGTACCGGCATTTGGTCCTGTTTGCTGAGCCATTGAGTCACTATAATTTACATTTGAATTCCATATTTCCAGTGACTAACAAATTCTTCCTTCTCCAAAAAAACAATAAAAATCTAGGGATATGGTCACTTTGATTAATCATCAAGAGTATATAGAATCAAGTACATTCATTTTTAGGCAACAGTAACTAGCACAGTCACAGGAAATTCAGGTTTCAGGAAATGACAATCAATATATCAGTACAATTTCAGTGCAAAACTAGCCCCACTGCTAATGAAAAATTGGAAACCTGACACTACTGAAGTGCAAGAAACCGGTGCCTGTGGTAGTATTTGTCCAGGCAAGAACCAAGTCTAATGCATCTCATTATTGCTTGCTCGTTTACAAATGCATGTTTCCACTGAATAAGAAGCAGGTAAGCAAACCATGGGGGTATACATAACAAAAATGTGTTGGTCTTAAGATTCTTCTTTGTTCAAATTATGAACTCTTCTATAGATTTCTTGTTCCCGGGCATGTTTTGCAGCAAGGGCTTCCTCGTCGAGTACTTTTATAGGTGACCATTCTGGCAACTTCAACCAGCTGTCCTTTTTGCCAACGGCCGAGTTATAGTATCTTCTCAAGACGGGTTTCAATTTGAGAGTGGCAAAATCAACTGACGTTCCCACAACAGCAAAGACGACAGAATAACGAATAGCACCAAGTTGGCCACCTGGAATAGCATTCAAACAGAGCAGTTCAACAACCGTCCTAAATGAGCACAAAACACGTAGATGATCTAACACACAACTATACAACTTCGCCTTGTAAATATTTTCACAATTTTTTCTGAATGAACGACAAATAATTGTGTTATGCATGTCTGGTATAAAGTCCTTCGAGATGACGTGCAAAACTTGTTTTGTAACAAGTTGGACGACATAGACACTAGTCAGCTAGTCAATATGACTATATGGGCCTTGGAGAATAGCTACACAATATCTGGAATGGCACTCTTTGACTCATCAAGTAACCAATGACACGCAATTAAATGATATGCCTGTGAATGCCACATTAAGAGGATAATTTCTAAGGCGAGCAAGGAGGAAAGAGGCTTACTAGTTGCCATTCTGAAAAACAATGATCCAGAAAAACTAATGATACTTTGATCTTTCTTCCAATTGAATTTTCAAAAAAAAAAAAAAAATTGATATAGTAACATGCCAAACACGTCTGATGACACGGAAACAAATTTCCAGTAAATTTCTGCAAGCTGTATTGGATGTTCATGACGCTGTTTTTATTCAAGGAAATGTGGAAAAGATAAGCACATGACGAAATTTGGCACAATGGTGATAGTAATCGTTCCTAAAACTGACCAAGTTATACAACATCACAAACAACGGCAGTAAGAAAGAATTGGCAGATCATCAGAAATTTAGCTTCCCGGGAGAATTTACACAACAGTTGCAAAGAGACTAGCGAATTGCATTTCTACCATGGTGATGTTTTTATGTACAAATAGAGGCATGAACTTTTACCTTGAAGCCTTCCCAAAAGAGCACCACTACCGAAACCTCCAATTACCGAATTCAACAAGTCATCAGGTTTTCCAGTTCTACTTACTCTTACAAACTCTCGGGCACCTGGAAAACATCAATGTCACCACAAGCATTGATCTCAATAGCATCCCAATTGTCATTTGCCTACCAAATATTTCTTTGAAAGTATAGATCATATACTGATCAGCAGTCACCATTTCATATAAAAATAATAATTCCTTTTAAGAATATAATATACCCAGCTATATATGCCTTAACTGCTCCTTTTTCCAGCCCTCTTTTTTGGAAATTATATTCATCATGATTCAAAAACTAATTATTTGTAACAAAAAATTGCAATTACGTAAATATTCCAATACACCAAACAATGAAACACAAATTACCACAATAACAGCCAGTAACGATGGCGAAATTGGTTGCATAAGTGGCGGAAATATTAGCAAGTCCATGAACTTTTCGATGCTTTGATACCAATCCAGCTCCTCCGCCAGCAATCCCTAAAAGGGAACAAAACAGGGGGAAAATCATATAAAATCAGAAAATTTGAAGAACTTATGTGCTAGAATACAATATTGACTAGTATACCTGCGAGTATAGTGGGGACGAGAATCCGTTCCTTCCAACTCGGAGATGAAGAAGACGCAACTCTTTCTTGAGTTTCATCACCCGCGGCCATGATCTCCGTCTGCTCCACCTTCAAAGTTCAGACTTTCGATTTCAGCAGAGCCAATGGCGATGGAGAGTTCATTCAACTGTTCTGGAGCCTCGCCGAGGATGCAGTGATATTTGCATTTGGGCCGGTAACAAGCCCATTAGTGTTGGGCCATTTCCTTTTTATTTTTTTAATTTTTTTTTAAAACTAGTAAGTTTCGATGCACGGTCATTAAATATGGCCTCTTAATAATTTAAGATTGTCGTATAATAGTACTAATAAAAAAAAAGAAAAAAATATTATTAAATAACAAATAATTTAAAAATTAACATTATTAAATAACAAATAGTTGTGGAGTTAGAAGTATTCAAAAGAAACAAACGTAGATATTTTAAAAATTAGTAGTGAAAAGAACTGCTGTAGTAAAAATTAGTAACAAATGTAGATATTGGGTCAAAATAGAACTTCAATAATCTCTCATGTCATATACTATGTCTAAAACTTTAAACTGCTGCATTGTTCTAGTTGAAGCACCTGCAGTTTTGAGTATAAAGAGATATAACATATTGGACCAACACAGTAAATATTTCTTCACATGGTGTATATAATATTTCAAAATGCAGCCTAGAAAACAAAACATGTTTTGTTCAGATTAAATCCAAGTCCGATGAATATAAAATATTCTTAAATGTTTTTATTCTGGAAAACCAATGTCCCTATACGAAAATTTCTCCTTGTTAATGTTGTACCTCTTCCTTTCTTCACTGTCTGAGTCGAAGAAAATTGGTCCAATAGACTTCTTTTAGTCAAAGGACTAAATTCCTGCTCTCCTTCTTCGTTTGTTTCTTGTAAGGCATTGTTTGGAGAGTTAACTTCATAAGCTCCTCATGCATCCGGATAGATTATTATAAAAACAAAGTTAGGAACTTAAAACATAGTCAGTAAAATTGAGATATCAGATCATCTAGGTTTTAAATGGTAACAGTATAGTATTACATTATCTGAGTCGTCATCCACATATTCTTCAAGTCTGTCTCTTAATCAGCATCTAGTGCTGAGCACTATGTAGCTACAATATTCTCATCATTTAAAATTCTCATGACAGGAAGAGCATAGCCATAATTTTGATTGTACATTTTCCTTTTTGATTGTAACCTTGAAAACCATTGCCGTTCTTACCATTGTAATTGCATTCTGAATTACTATTAGTAATAAATAGTAATGTATGTACTATACCCTATATAACACACAAAAAACAAAAACAAAAAAAAAAAAAAAATAGTAAAAACGAAAACCTGCATATCCAAATGAGTAATACTATACAATCTGTATTAACCTTCCCTCTTCGTCATAATTGTGATTGTTGCTCCTCCACATAATTCAGGGATCTCATAAGTTCTGACCAAACGCACCCGGATTGCTCTCCTGATGTGGAGAGGGCTAACTTGCGAATCAAGGAGGTAATTGGGAGGGCATTTCAATCTAATTTCGCAGGGTTTGTTCCTGCAGAAGGTTTCGTTTGTGTGTACAATGCCAGATTAGTGCACTATTTATACTATATTTTTGGGTGTGCACATGTTCATATATGTATTTTGTATATGTTGGGGTTCAGCCTTTTGGAAGAATGTATTTTGTATATGCATTAAGCATTAACGATTTGTTATTAATATCCTTAGGAGGTTAGAACAGTTTTCCATGCATATTTTAAAAGTGAAACTGTGAGTATTCTGCAATTATTGTTATTCTGAGATTTTTATTTGAATTCTGATCTAATGGAGTGTAACAAATTAAAGTTTTAGTATTAAGAAATTATTATTATTATTTAGACTGATGAATAGGCTCAACAATAAATAATAATCATTGTATTTTGTTGTATTGAAAATAAATAAGCAACTGGAATTGAAAAACTCAATAGGCGTATTAAATATAAGATAATGTATTATATTGAAAATTGAAGAAAATATCTAAAACTGAACACATTAAATGTCACTGGCGCATGCAACAAATGTTTTCCACATCATCAGCATGTATTTTTATGGAACGTCACCGTTTCATTTGGGCGGGAAAACAACATGGCATAAACATTTTGCTATTATATATAGTAAGATCATTTGGGCGGGAAAACAACATGGCATAAACATTTTGCTATTATATATAGTAAGATAAGATAAGATGATGAGGAAACCTATGGTTACGGCAAATTATACCATGACCAGGGTCTACTTTGCATTGTACACCTGATCTAAAATAATCTTTAGATTTTGTATTTTTAACTGAAACATTTTGTTGTAGTTGATAGTTTCTGTACATGTAACTATTATATTATGTGTCAGCAATTCTCAAGTTATTTGTTT